TTTTTTTTTTCCTTTCTTTCTTTCTTTCTGTATAAAGCACAATATATCGTCATAAGAGAGAGCATGTATAATGGCAAAATCTTAACGTTGCAAGTAAAATAGAGTGGAATAATAGATTAGTACTACGGAGAAACTAAGTATCTTTGTATTATGATATAAACTAGGTATTAAAATAAATTAGAAGTTAGTGTTATACACGTTTTGTTATTTTTTAAAAAAATTACTCTCACTGTTTGTGTTTTTGTATGTGTTACACTTTAATCGGCACATAGTTTTAGTCAATTTAATTGACTTAAATAAAATAAGAGGTAAGTAGGGTAGTTAAAATAGTGGAGTTAATAATCTATTGTAAAGTAATATAATGAATGTGAGAGGAAATAAATAATAATAATAATAATAATAATAATAATAATAATAATAATAATAATAATAATAATAATAATAATAATAATAAAAGTAGTATTGTGAGGGTAGGGATCATGAGAGAAGAGAGAATACTTATAATTCATAATTGTTTAAATATGTATATTATCCAAACCTTGATTATACAACCACATGTATCATACAAATATGTAACCATATTAATGAAAAAAATATTTGTAATAGCTGAAAAGCCACATAAAATCATAAACTAATAAATTAATAATAGTAATGATAGCAATATTATACTACCATAAGATGATAATTGTAAGAATTACTCCGTATACGGAAAAAAAGGCCACTAAAGAATCTTTTATAATGAAAACGTAAAACCACTCTTGAGTCATAAAACAAGTTAGTTACTTCCGTACTTATAATTTTGTTTACATTTTTTTTTTTTTTTTTTTTTACTATAACATCATTAGATGTATTAATTGTTAAATATATGTATTGACAACTATAATATATTTCGTATGTATATGTAATCATATTAATCTATATTAACTTTATGCTTCCTCTGTCTTTTCTAAATGCAGTATACCTTCTTTGCACATACTTTAAGGAATAAATTAATTAAGCAATTTAAACGGACAAATCATTCAAAATAATTTATACACATAATACATGAATAAAAGCATTTACAAAAGTGAATTTTTTACACTAAATTACGAATACAAACACTTAATAATAGAATGAAGGGAGTAAGTATTATTTGTTTTAAAGTTGGTTGACGCGTGCATAGCACATGGCGATCCAACTAGTCTTAAATGATGAGAATATTTAGTTAATTTTATGTATAACACCTTCTATCGTTGAAAATACTGTAACATGATTCATGTGGTTGTCTAAACTAGGGGCGAATCTATAGTGGGGCCTGGGTGGCACATGCATGCCCCACCAAAAACCGATTTTTATTTTATTTTATTTATTTATTTATTTTAATTTTTAAATTTAGTTAAGAAAAATTTGTTAATTACTACCTCAAAAAAGGGGCATTTGTCAATTACTACCCCTAAAAAAAAGTTATTAATTACTACCCCAAAAATTGATTAATTGTACTAAATACTACCTTTTCCCCTTTTCCGGTCACTTAGCTTACTAATGACATCATTTTCCAGCCAAATCGTAATTAGTTACTTTTAAATCCTAATTAATTAAATAAACCCTAAATTACCACCTTTCCACCTCCACACCACCATTGCTCCACCTCCGGCAGCCCGTTTACCAAATTGCCACCACCAAAAATTCCCCCCTTCCCCAGCCCCACCACCGCAAACCCTCCCTTTACCTTTCCCCCACCGCAAAACTCGTCCCCTTCCCTTCCCCAACCTTGGATTACCACCCGTCCATGTTCCCCCAACCCCCAAAAACCGCCTTATTACCATCCATAACCTTCGATTACAGCTCCCTCCCTTTCCCCAAACCCTTGAAAACAACCTCACCTCTTCCCCAGCCCCCGATAACCACCCCTTCCCCTTCATTAGCCCCGATAATTGCTCTCCACCCCTTCCCCAACCCCAAAACCTCATTCCCTTACATTCATGGTGTTCGGTGGTGTAGAGGGGATGGGCCATGGTGTTCACCGAGGGTACGAGTTGGGTTTGTGGTGCACGACGGGGGAGGCAGGTCGCCGCCGTGGGAGGAGGAAGTTCGGTTTGTGGTGGATGCTTGCCGAAGAAGGGGGCTAGGGTTTTTTAATTATGAAATTAGGATTAATTAGGATTAAAATGATTTAATTAGGGTTAGGATGACAAATGACGTCATTTATGAGTTAATTAGCCGGAAAATCCACTTAAGTAGTAATCGTTATAACTTATCACAATTAGGGGTAGTAGTTAACAAATTTTTGTTTTAGGGGTATTAATTCACAAAGCCCCCCTTTTTGAGGTAGTAATTGAAAAATTTTCTTTTAGGTAAAGGTGTAAATTTATTTACAGTTTAATTACAATTTCAATGCACTAAATAACATCAAATTAGCTTTGTAATAGTGATAATGCACATAGCTTGAGAATAAAGTGTGTAAGTTTGTGCCAAAGGTCTTAGATTCAAGTTTAGTCTCCACATTAAATATTCTACATTCCGCCACTACTCTAAATGTCTTCCTTTAATCATGTTTATGTAATTTTTATAACTAGTTTATTTTATAGCACCTTCTATCATTAAATAATGCGGCAACGTGATTCATGTGGTATGAATAATGTTGTTAAACAGTGAATCAATACGTCTTCTATACATTATTGTTAACCATAAATGACTAACATGACCCACTTACTATTATAGATAACATTATAAATTATTCACTAAATCAAAATTAATAAATTATTAATACGTCTATAAATCGTGACTTTCGATGAAGATCTATACGTTTTGATTATAACTATAGGAATTCAATAATTTATATTTTATACTCCGTATTATCTCTATACTATTCCGTATTATAAATAGCCCGATTGACATATTTAGGTTAGAATTTGATCACTCGAGCGTTAACTTTTTTTTGTACCTATATACTTATATGACTTGTATTAATGTAAATATATGTGAGTAGTTTTAATTACTAAATACCCCCTCTGCTTTTTTAAGTGTCCAACTTCTAAAAAACAGCTGTTTTTTAACTGTTTTATTACCAAATTTAGAAACTTCACAACTCACTCGTTATGTCCACCAAGCCGCCGAATCAAACGAAAACTCTGAGAAAAAAGGGAAAAATAAAGGGCACGGTCAATCCCAAAGGATAAGGATCGGTGTTATGTTCCTCCATTAAAGCAACCCCTGAGCTTCTGAAATTTTCATTGAAGCTTGTGAAATCTTCATTGTACGTAGAAGCTCGTTGAATTTCAGTCATCTTGAACAAAGTTAGCAATTGTTAACGAACTTCTGTTATTGATGGTATTACAAATTTACCCCTACTTACCTACTTGAAATGACAACAATGCCTTTTAAAGAAACATTTGTTTCTCATGTTGAAAAACTTGTATTTTTTAGCAAGTTCCTAATTATAATGATTGGGTTGCTTAAAGATTGATAATGTGGGGAACATGTACGATTATTGTCTAACACTATTCCAAAAATCAGTGAATCTATATTTCAATTCATCATGCATTAATTGAAAGGATCACAATGGTAATGGAATGAATACAATAATACTCTAGAAGGGGGGTTGAATAGAGTATGGGCAATTTTCGCAAAAAACAAATATGTCAAGGTCTTAAGATTAGTTTCAAGGCGGAATAAACTAATCTCAGTTTTAAATTCAAAGCTTTGAAAACAGTTTATAAAATAAAATTGATTTACTTATCAGAGTCAAGGCTTTGAAACTTAGACAGAAAGTAATTTACGAATTAAGCAAAAATAAATACGAGTAAAGTAAAGCAAATAAAAACATGAGACAAGAGACAGAGATATTTTTACGAAGTTTGGCAAATGTGCCTACGTCTCCGCCTAGGGTTATCCAACCCGTAGGATTTTAAACTTCCTTTATTTCTTCCCTTAGAGTCCTAAAGCACCTAGAAGATGACCTCTCTTCTCTCCGTAACCGCCCGGCTACACTTTAGCAACTCAATTCCCAGAAATAAAAGACTACCTAAAATACTTTGAGTATTATAGAATTACTCTAAGTATATCTATCTTTTGATATATTCTTTTTCCACTCTTAGATACACTTTTCTTTTCTCTCAATCTAATCACACAATAAAGTATTAAAGAACTTAGAGAGAAGATATTTAACACTCTTGCTATAGTGTGTAAAGCTTGATATTCTTGAGTGTTCTTGTTCTACGTTGTTTCTTCAGCACACTTGAACAATATTTATAGAGATGTATGGCTGATTTTGAATGTTTGAAACTTCAACCGAATTCCTTCAAAACAGCTCCTTCAAATTAGCAGCTTTCAAAATTCAAACGTTGGATTCATCTTGCTGTTTTATTTCAACGTTCATCTTTGAATAAAACATCAGCCTTATCTAGTGCAACAATAAAGCTAACAATATCCTTGAAACTAGGTTAGGTAGCACAAGATATAATTATTCAAAAATAATCTGAAAAATTAAATAGTAGTTATAAAGAGATAAAAATATGACTGAGAAATATATTTATCTTTAACAAACTTAATCATAGCATATGGATAAAAATATAAGTGAAGTCAGAAACTTATCTTTATAAAGACTTCTAACAAAATATGAAGAGATAAAATAAACCATCATACATGAGCAAATTACGTTGGACTCCATATACATGTGGACTCTTTTGACTTCCATCACACAAACATAAATGTAAAGCATATAATCTCATTATAATCTAATTAGCAGATCAAGGTGGAGTCATCATTAATAATTACATCCAACCTAACCTTATAAAAATGTAGCCTTAAACTGCTCTCATCAGTCGTCACACATTCGCACCAACACATTTCAAGCTAAATTTTAAAGATGCATTATTCTCAATTCACTCGGTGGAGTTTGGCTTTGTATTTGCTTCTATTAATGGATAATTATCTTCTATATTATGTATTGTATAATTTGCATATTATTATGTCTTCAACCTTAACTAATTATAAGAATTGAATTTGAATTTCTTTGGCAGATTGGTGATGCAATTGGAGAAAACGTTGCAACGAATCGAAACAATGAAGGAAGTCATCATGAACATCAAGGCCATTCAACAACACCACACATAGACCATTCAGTGCAAGTATTTTTCACCCCTAAAGACCTTAAGCTAGGAAATGTAATGCCTATTTTCTTCAAGGGTCGAAGTCCTTCGCGTTCTCCTCATTTTCTTCCTAGAGAAGAATCCGAGTTAATACCTTTCTCACCATCTAAACTCCCTTTTCTTCTTAAACTCTTCGGCTTCTCTCAAGCTTCGCCTCAAGCTAAAGCCATGGAAGATACTCTCAGACTATGCATCATAATGAAACCTATCCAAGGAGAGACTAAGTTTTGCGCAACTTCCTTAGAGTCTATGCTCGATTTTGTGCGTAAAATCTTTGGATCAACAACAAAATTTAAGGCCCTGAGCACCCAAAAATTCGCGAAATTTGGTAGTATTCTACAAAATTATACCATAGTAGATGAACCTAGAGAAATACTAGCCCCGAAAATGGTTGCTTGTCACACCATGCCGTACCCATACGTGGTGTACTATTGCCATTTCCAAGAAAGCGAAAGCAAGGTGTTTCTAGTTTCATTAAGAAGTGAAGATAATAATAATATTGTACATGAAGCTGTTGCTGTTTGTCATATGGATACCTCTCAATGGAGTGCTAATCATGCCTCATTTCGGGTTCTAGGCATTAAGCCTGGTTCATCCCCAGTTTGCCATTTCTTTCCTGCAGATAATCTTGTTTGGGTACCAATAATGTCTAATACTACTGATAATTCTGTAGGAAGAGTTTCAAGCATGTAACAATTTGCTGAATTGTATGGTACTACTTATTATGGGGTACAATATAAGTGACTAGTGGTCTAATCTGCTGTAATACCAGTTGATGAATTGAATGAATGTATCGTAATTAATTAAAAATTTGTATCGTAATATCAGTATTAGTATTTTACTTCGTGTTTAACCTCAGTAATTATATTGATAGGAAAAAAAAAAGTTGTGATTTACTGTTCTATTATTGTTCATTTATCATTTTATGGCTTTGTGGTACTTGGGAGATGTTGGATTAGACAGCTATAATCTTAGGATCTGTTCTTCACCTTATTTTAAGTTAAGATAAGTTTTTCACCAAAAATAAGTTCAGGTTACTTCATTTCAGAAAAAATAAGTTCTAGTAAGTGTTTCCCAAATTTAAATTACAACTAAAATAAATTTTTACTAAGTTTAGATAAGTCAGATAAGTTAAGATAAATTCAGTTAAGCTCAGATAAATTTAGAAAAGTAAAAATCAGGTGAATAAAACACACTCTAAAACTCGGAAAATTATACTTGTATTATTTCCCATCAAATCAATACCAGTGAATGAGGAGAGCGTATATCAATGCATTATTAATTATGTATAAAAATGCATTAGATATTATTTTAATTATTCAATTCATTGTAAGCAAAAACATTTGGGATTGGTACAAATTCGTCATCAAATAACTTCTTGGATGCTAGAAACTTAAACAATATCGGTCATTAAATTGGTTAGATCATTAAGTTGTAGAATCACTCAATCTTTTTTAAAAAAATGTTTTGATTCTAATATGATATACATAGTGAACATATGTTGAAATTTTACCTTTTTTTTTTTTTCCCCTCATAACTCGGTATGCATAACTACTAGTGAATTAAGCAAGATTGATGTATTAATTAGTAATCTTGAACTTTAACTACTACGTATATAATTATGAATGGCGTTTAATTTATGTGAGAATGACTTGTATTTTACCTATTATATAGGTCTGTATAAAACTTTGCATCGATTTCGCAACATGAGCGAAACCACGGATTAAATTTCGGGTCTTGCCCACGCAATATTGTTTCGCTCCATATAGTGGAGGTACAATTCAAGTTTGATTTTATGGCATGTTTCTTGTAGCATGGAGGTCGTTAGAGAACATAACTATGCTTTATCTTTATACATAATAAAGGTATGGGTCTTTATGTTTGTTCTTATCTTTGTATGATTTTGTCTCGAAACGAGTTGACATTATTCTTGAGTTAAATAAATTTCAAGGTTGTGGTGTACTTAGGCCATATTCACTTCATCTTAAAAAAAAAATATTTAGTAAAAATAATTTTAGTTTAGTAAAAATAATTTTAGTTTAGCAAAAATAAGTTTAGTTCAATAAAAATAAGTTCAGTTCAGTAAAAATAATTTGTGTTCAGACTAAATAATTTCATGTCGGCAAAAATCAGTAACTTTAAAGGAGAAATATAACAGAAAATCAGTAAAAATAATTTTAGTTCAGCAAAAATAATTTTAGTTCAGTAAAATTAATTTCAGTTCAGTAAAAATAATTTAAGTTCAGCAAAAATAATTTCAGTTCATTAAAAATAATTTCAATTCAGCAAAAATAAGGTGAAGTGAACGGGGCCTTAGTCATTGATAACCGTGAATTAATCCTTTCCATCTCATATTTCGTTGGTCGAGATGTATTTATTTATTTTTTATTTTTTTGTCAAAATCTTTATAGTTTATCTTGAATGGTTTTAAGGAATCATATCCAATTTATTCATCAATCATATCTTTTTATTTGTTATTGTCTTATAGATATACTAGTTTTGTTTTCCGGGCGATGCCTGGGTTGTTTATTCAATTTAATAAGAAAAACTTTTTATCTATCTGTCAATTTTTAAAATATATCATTGCTACAAATAATATCCCTTTTGATTTACAATATTTTGACTTCAAATACCATTGAATTTTGTAAAAGTGCAATATATATTATAGAAATATATATTATATATGAGAAAAATATTTATTTTATTCGAATTTGCTACTGATGGATTAATAATTACTTGATTTCTTTCTTTAAAAAAAATTACTTACATTGACATGTGTGTAATGTTTGACTATGTCATGAATTATGGGATAGAGGAAGTAAGGCCTCGTTCACTTCACCTTATTTTTGCTGAACTGAAATTATTTTTATTGAACTGAAATTATTTTTGCTAAACTGAAATTATTTTTACTGAACTGAATTAATTTTACTGAACTGAAATTATTTTTGCTAAACTGAAATTATTTTTACTGATTTGCTGTTATATTTCTTCTTTAAAGTTACTGAATTTTAGTGAACTGAAATTATTTTTACTAAATATTATTTTTACTGAACTAAAATTATTTTTTAAAGGTGAAGTGAACCGGGCCTAATAGGCCTGAAATTATTTCTTTCTTTCAAAAAAAAATTGCTTAATAATCATTTTTTTAAAAGTTATAATTATTTTATAAATATCAAAGATTTTCGCTGACTTGGTGTCACACTAATTCATATTTGTTGTCTACATGATCTGACACTTGGCGAAAAGCCAAGTTTTGATGTCTTGTTTTAGTTGATTAAGGTCTTGTTTTGCAAATGGTTGTTGGGGTTGGCGGTTGGCTGGTTCACTTGGCTTGTTTGACCAGCTGAAATGTTTGGTTGTTTATAATGGGTTTTGAAATTGGCTATTTAAACTGACTGTTTACAAACTGTTTGGTAAATTTAGTTGTTGGCTTTTGGCGATTTATTAGATAATTTGTGGGCCAACAAAAAAGCTACTCAAAGCGGCTTTTTCATTTTGGCTTAAAAGCCAGCTTTTTTGCTAAATGAAAAGCCAGTTACCAAACACTTTTTTGGCTGTTTGACCACATAAAAAAGTCAAAAGCCAAAAGCTAACCAAAAAGCCATTTACCAAAAATGGCCTAAAATATATTATTAATTAATCTTGTTTTGTACAACTTTCTAAAACAAATTTTATGATATAAAAATAATTAAAATATATTATTAATGAGTCTTGTTTTGTACAACTTTTTAAAACAAATTTTATGATATAAAAATAACAAATTTATAAGATAATTTTTTAAAGTTATAATCTACTTATTCATATGGAAAATTAGAAGTTCTATCATAAATAAAACACTCAATAAATTTTTTATAACTTATATGTCACCTACGTGGCGCGACACTTGGCGAAAAGTTAAAACGCCAAGTGTCGCTGTCTCATAACCTGGCTAAAAGTTTAGCTTTATATATTAGTTACTAGTTTTGTGCTCGGGCAATGCCCAGATGATTGATAAAATTTTACGATAAACTTTTTGGCTTGAATGTTAAATTCAATCATATAATCCCTTTTAATAATGCAAAATATTTAGACATACAATCATATCGCTTATGTATGTATATAATAGTGTAATTTTGTAGTTTTGTTTGTGAATACATATCTATGTTATTATTGAGTTGAAATTATTTTTATTGAGCTTAAATTGTTTTTACTAAATTGAAAGTAATTTTACCAAATTAAAATTATTTTTATTGATTAAAACTTATTTTAATCTCTATAATTTTTAAATAAATTAAATATATTATAAATGAATCTTATTTTAAAGTACTTTTTAAAACGAATTTTATGATGGAAATAGAATCGAGTTATAGGATATTTATTCAAAGTAATGATTAATTTTGTATATATGGAATATTAGAACTTTAGAAGTATATCGATAATAAAACTCTGTATAATATTTTTATCTTAAAGATAATTTATTCAAAATTCGCTTACTTATCATCATACGTGTCACAATAATACCTATTTGTCACCTACGTGGCTTGACACTTGGCGAAAATCTGGAATGCCAAGTGTTGTTGTCTCGTGGTCTCGCTGCGAGACCGGCTTTATTTAATAGTCCATCTATCCGTTCACCGGCTCCAATCAAGCTCCCCGAGTGTCGGTCTTGTATAGCTTATAAAGAGTCAGTGAATCGGACAAAACAATGTGAATCATCAATCATTTTAGACACCGATATTAAATTGCAATTTAATTTGGGTACAAATAAAACATTCTCAAGTATAAGTCCATTCGCCAAACACACTCTCCCCTCCTTCGTAGCCATAGCATGAGCACCATCCGGAAGACCAACGGGACAAGGAGATATAGGATGCACGTCCATCAAACAAGAGTCGTCACCGGTCACATGATGAGAAGCGCCGGTATCAACTATCCAAGACAAGGAAAAATACTCACCAGTCATTTTATATTGTTGGTGATTATTAACCATACTTAACTACATACGGACATGCTCGGGTTGAAGCTCTGATAAAGCCGAAAGAGTATCCTGTGAAGGCAAGGTAGAAGCACCAAGGGGGCTGCCCACGACATTAGCTCTTGCCTGGTTTGCTATGCTCCATGGCAGCACCAGCAGACGAAGTAGCAGCAGCGGCAACACTAGCGGGGGGCTTGCTACCAGGCACCGAGGCCTGCTAACCCGAAGCAACGGCACCCCCCTTATTCCCATATTTTTCCCAAGGGGGGTAGCCATGGAGTATAAAACAACCTAAATTGTCATGTCCCGACCGTTTGCAATGAGAGCAAAATAGTTTTGATTTATCAACACGAGTAGCAAATTGGAATGAGCGACGATCCGAGGAAAGAGCGAAGACATGAGCATCTGCCTTCTCGGTTAGAGCTTGACCTTGGCTATACCGCAAGAACGTTCCTCTTGAAGGAACGCTTGATATACACGGTCCAAAGTCGCAGGGGGTTGCTGGGATAACAAATTCGTCCTCACAACCAAATATAAATCGTCATCGATCCCAACCAAAAATTGGTGTATTTTTTGTCCTCCTTGTCCAATTCATATTTTTCAGCAACATTGCAATTGCAATTCCCACACTCACAGCCGTGGGGAGGCTTGAGGCGGGTTAGATCATCAAAATAGCCCATGAGCTTATTGTAGTAATCTTCAACTGACATATTTTTCGTCTGCTTGCATTTAGTAATTGAAGCCCTCAATTGTTGTAGACGAGGTCCGCTAGCAACACAAAAGCGCTTCTCCAAGTAATCCCAACTTCTTTGCCTCTTCAAAATAAGGCCTGGAAGCCGCAAGTTTTGCTTCGACAGCCCTCAAAATCCATGAGACTTACATGGAATTTACGGTCTCCCAGTCAAGCATTTTCTTCTTCTCCGTTGGTTTGGAGATAGTACCATCCAAAAAACCGAACTTTCGTCGAGATTTCAAGGACAATGTTATTGCCCTAGACCATGGGAGGTAATTATCCCCCTTCAAGATCACGTGAGTAATTAGGTTGTCGGGTTGATCACATGCGCCTAGATAGAAAAGAGATGAAGGATCAACCTTCCCTTCATCGCCCATGATTATCAATAGAGAGAAATTATTTTTTAGAGTTTTTAGGGTTTAGAGTGTAGAGGTTCTGATACCATGTCAGGAATTGATTTTTCGTAGTTGTATTACTGTATGAGCAAGTATAATATACAACCTAAGAGAGATTAGAGCTTATCCCATTGGCCCATTAGCTATACACAAATATAAGGCTTAACAAAAAAAAACACTTAGGTCATGTCTACCTCTTGGTTTGTTATTCTGTTTAATCTTTCACCGCCTTTTGGCGTTCTTTCTTGGTGACCAAGTTTCTACAAGACCATATTCAGCATTCTTGAACACAAGAAGGTTCTCTGGGCATACATAAGCATTCGTTATCGTCTTACCGAAACCAGGGAGCTCAAGATTTGTAATCTCCAAAGTTTGCATGTCCACACAAGCAATGTTAAAAAAAAGAAGAAGCTTGCCACAAATTTCTTCCTTTCTTTCAACAAATAAATAGGCATCAATTCCTTAACTATATTTTGCAAAGAAATTCTAAACAATTTAGTCCAGGACAAGGATATGCCATACTCTTTCATAATCCAGACCTCACAATAAATAAAATCGTTGAGCATTAGACACAAGCAATCATCAAGCTCTCCTGTTTGAGTGTGATGAAACAAATAAATCGGCTCTGTAGTGTCGTTAGGCAATGGAAAAGAGCTAAACTTTTCATCTTCAAGATTGAAGCAAACTATATGATGGACTTGTGTTTTACCATACGCATATTCGATGGTCTAATGCAAAGTTCCCTTAAAATCAAGGCCATATCTATACTGAAAATAAAAGAATTGCGTAACATCATAAGCCCCCGGTCTCCAGGAATCCGCTTTCAAACTATAAACCATAACTTGACTCATGACATTACCGCCTTTAACAGAAGATGTACGTTGTAAAATCCTCACACACTTGAATTCCTTGGACACGTGATCATAACCAAACCCAAGGTAGCAATCGTTTTGAGGACAAAAGATAAGCTTAAAGGGAAAAAACGGAAGGGTCTTGTGAGCTTGAGTGGTAGGGTTGTACAATATAATGGTGTAGGGATGATAATTCACGGATAAGCAAAGTATACAACGACACAATCCTATTACTCGAACACCTTTATAGAATGCGGGTGATCTTTTTTCATGAATAAAATCCATATACTTGTAAGGGTAATCCAATTCAACAACATTATCAAATGTGTCAAAATCACTCAAGTGTAGGATAGGGTTTCTGAAAACTATATGCAAATTGGATTGCTCAACATGGCGTGTAATGAAATAAGGGTCGTTAATAATATTATACCATAACTCGTGTTTAGGGTAAAACTACCCTGTCCACGTGGACCAATCGTGTGCTGACACGTGTCAATATCAGAGAGGTTCGCACCAAACACCCACAACCACACCATCAACGCACAAAATCAGAACAAATCGCCCCAAACAGAAACTTTAGATTAATTTTCATATAAAAATCAGAAAAATTAGATCTAATATAATTGAAAATTAAAAACAAAACTAAATATGAAAATGATTAAAGGGCTAAAATGATTGAGGATTAAAACGAAAATCGATAATAGAATTAGAATAAAATTGAAAAGTTCAGATCGAGAAAAAAGAAAAATTATCTCTGAATCCGCAAAAATTTAGCACAAACAATCCAAAAAACCATTACCCGGAAACTTAAATCAACTCAAAGCTACATAAATTTGAAAAAATAAAGTTAAATCAACTCAAACAATCATCATTTACAACATTCAAACTGAAAAAACTTCTAAATTGATTTTCGATGATTACAATGAGAAACATCTTACCTAGCATCATCAGCTTCAATTATAGCCAATAGTGTTCAAGAATCAAACTGGTTAAGGAGGAGGACGCGAGGAAACGTCAATGGTTGATTGCAAAGAAAAGGAGCTTTAGGGTTTTTTTCAGTTGGAGGAAAGAGAAGGAGATCGAAGGAGAAAGGAGGAATTTAGGGTTTCTATTGTTGAGAGGAGGAGAGATCGAGGAAAGAGAAAGAAAGAAGACAGAAAGAGTAAGAAAGAAAATAAAAATGGCCGGGTTTTTTTTTTTTTTTTTACAATAGCTTTCGCACTGGTTCAAACCGAACCGGTGCGAAAAGTCATTCCCTCAATAATCCCGCTTATTTTTTTTCGCACCGATTTTTAAAAACCGGTGCACATTTTGCGGTGCCTATTTCATTTTTTCTACTAGTGTTCTGAGAGAACCAATCCTCTGGTGACACGTGGCACTCCAACCCATGAAAGGGGAACTGATCCCCTCACATTATAAATAGAGGAAAATCCACATTTATTGCATATTCATAATATACACACAAAACCCGAGCAATATTAATTGCGGAATTCTCTCGAAATCTCAGATAAAAACCTTTACATTCCGCACTTTTATACATTCGGATACGTTCTAACTTGATCGTCGGAGGCGGAACTCCACCCAACCGGAGTTTCCGTGGTTTTGCAAGTACAGACGATCGACGCGCATTCTTGGAATTGTAACTCTCCCGAGGGACTCCAAAAACCCCGAAACATTTGGCGCCGTATGTAGGGAGAGTACTTCCGAGATAGCTTCACAACAGTCTGTACCGCCTGCTGATGAGAACTGGCCTTTGGCTGGAGTAGAGGTCTATACAAACCAAGAGAGTGGTGATGACTTCGGAGTCGACACCTATGTGGCCCCAGACGGGTCCTCAGAACGAGGCGCACCCGTTCCAAGGAAACAAGGGAACGGGGCGAAGACAAAGCTGGTCCAAGCAACCCAACCGTCCAGCCGGCTGGGCGACCCCAGGCGGCGGAGGGTGCTACTCCCATCACTAGAGACGAACTCGTGAAATTCATGACGAGTTTCAAAAAGGACCTGATAAATAATTTAAGTCAACTAGCACCAACAAGGGTTAGTCGGCCAAGAAGCCTTCTCCCTCAGGGAAGAAGCACGTTAAGGATCGTGTGCCTACTCTTCACCCTAAACCAAAGGGGGCGGATGGGCCCATGATCGACCAAAGTATATAGGAGTATTTCTTTTAGGATGAGCAAAACATTAGAGCTAAACATGTGTCGAGCAAGCACGCAACCTAATTAGGCTACAAATGTTTATAATTCGTATAAATTGCCTTACCATCATAACATCACAAATGTTAGTTTCTTGTTATGATATGTGTATGTACATCAATTTTCACAATCCTGCGTAAATGTTGCACAAGCTTGACAGGGTTGGCATGCCAATGATGCCACGATCTGTCATAGCAGTGATTTATGATATCTTCGCATCTTTCCAAATAGAAATCTTCGCATTCTGCATTGATGTTTTGATGTAGAGTTAATAACAAACCCTAAACTCATACGAATCCAAAACATCTTCCCAATTATTATTAGAACCCTAAAAATAAAATTCTCATCCATAGATGAGAATCAAAATCTCTGAAACTTAAAAAGACTCTCACAAACGAAGAGAATAATGCAAGAAACTGAATTAAATTAAAGAAAAAGGGTTAAAACATTCTCGGCCTTAACAACAAAAAAAACTAAAATCTTGAGGAGAGAGGAGAGATGGAATTTTATTTTTTAAATGCAACTCCTACGTAAGATAAGCGTAAGCGTCTACGTTATTCAAACAAAAAATATTATATTTTATGACTTCAACATGCTGTTTTCTTCAACATTTTGTATTATATACTACAAAATAAGATCTTGGACAAAGTTTGAAATTAATACATTTTATAAACGGAATTTTATGCTTCCACTTGTATATATATTCTGGCCTGAACGTGATAGGCCTCTAATGTTTATGTACTTGATTATCATGAGATAAAGTTTCTAGGACATTAATGTCCCACTGAGTAGAGTTCAATTCCTGTAAAATAAGGGATGCTCAAAAATCATTCTTGAAAATTAGATTAAACTAGATCCAATCGCACTAGATTGAATGGTCCAATTCCAATCTCTTAGTCGAAAAAAATAATTTTTTTTTTGTCACTGACTGGTCTGGTTCAAAAAACTCATAAGCTTTTAATTTAAAATAATTTAATTCATAGAATAATCTTCTCCACTAATATGTTGAATATGTTTTTTATGAGCTATTTATATTATGCTTTCAAAAAAAGACATTAAATACTTAATTTTCTTTTATTTCATATTACTATAAAAAAAAATACAAATCTTCAAAAAAAGTCTAGAACCAGTCCGATTCATACTTTGGACGTCCAGTTCCAATACTAGCATAATTGGTCTGGCCGACCTTAGATAAATAAAAGAATCAACCTCTTTAATTTGACTTTTTTTTTTTTTTTTTTTTTGGAAAAGGTAAGAAAAATAATCATATAATTTTCGAAATCTGTCTTATATATATACCCTGAAAACACCTTATTGCACATCACAAGTCATTGCATCTTTACAAGAAAGTCTTTGTGCAAAATTTGTAGTTGTGAAAGATGATAAGTTCATTAAGGGTAGCGGGAGGGTGTATGTTGTGCTTAGCGGGAATTTCATTTTTTGTGACATTAATATTATCAATAAATTCACTTCATTTTCTTGGCTCAGACTGCCCCGGTTTTCGTTTCCTTGGTATAACACTCTTCATTATCGGATTCTTAATGATGTTTATCCTCTACTACGCGAATGTCCCTGATGATGCGAGCGATCACAATTTACCAGTATCAATATGCTTGTCTTCACTTATATTACTTCTCCTCCTCGCCTTAGGGATATTCGCGTTGGCTGTCAGCAGCAAAGGGGGAGGGAAATCAATACCTGGGATATTGTACAAGGAGTACTACATAGAGTCGTACTCTAAGTGGATGCAGAATAAGGTTCATGATGCACGTAATTGGGAAAACTGCTATAAGAAGGTTATTGTAAATAAAGAGCATGTATGCACCAAATTTGGTAAGAAATATAAGCAGGACTCCCTTGATAAACTCCACAAACGTAATTTGTCCCCTTATGAGGTGAGTGGTCTTTTTTTTTTTTTTTTTTTTTTTTTTTTTTTTTTTTTTATGATAAAAATTTGTTCTGTATTTTATATTTGGAGAAGTGATTTAGACCTTGTTTGGTAAAGTGTTTATTAGAGAGCTTTTTGCTTATTATTGAGTCCTATTAGATGTATACTTGATCAATTTAAAAAGTTAATTTTGGTATTTGGTACGTAGCTTATTAAAAGAGTTTTTTAGGGTTAAAAAGCTTTCTTAGGAAAAACTCATTATAAGAGCTTTTTGAAATTAGCTAATTGAATAATTAGCTTTTCGGCTATTAAATATACTATAACGGTTAACAATTAACAGTTATGTACCAAACACTTTCATACAATCAGTTATTTACAACTAGTAGTCGTCAAACCAGTTAATACAACCAGATATATCAACCAGGTAATTACCAAACATGGCCTAAAACCGGATGATCCGTTTCTAAAATCTAGATTGAGATTGAACACTCTTACCTATATTTATAGATATATAGGATTTTAATTATCCCGATCATGTTTATCTGTAAAGTCAACCATATGATTTATGCAATTCTCCAATAAAATTTAAAGTCAAATTAACGCATTTATTGAGAATACAATAGAAGAAACACTAAACTACTTCTGAAATAATTTATGTCGATGATCAACAGTCAGGTTGTTGCAAGCCCCCAGAAGAATGCAATTTCAATTACACAAGTCCGACAGTTTGGGTAAAGCCGGAGAATGGAAACTACTCGAACGTCGACTGCAACAAATGGGACAATGATCCAAAGACCTTATGCTACGATTGCCAATCATGCAAAGCTGCACTTCTCCAAGACGTAACTTCTCACTGGTTTTTCACGGGCGTTTTTTTGGTTGTGATGCTAGGCTTACTATTCCTGCTCGGTATAGGTTGCTTTGTTATAGCTATCATTTCAGATCGTTCATCATCTGAAGATTATTCAAGGATATAAGCATATCTTTCGATCGTAATTGACATGACCGATCCTTATGACGTACATATGTTAGTGGTGTAACGGCTATGATATAATGGCTATGATGTAAGAACGTGTGTTAGAGGTGTTGTGACTGCGATAAGGTGACGGCTCACCTTCTAAAGAATCAATCTGTATAAAATTACTCCTTAATAAATAAAGGTTTGTATGTACTAAATTAATTAAAGTTACAATAGTATTTATTTTTGCTATCTATCTGACAATTTGTGAAAATTTGATCATGATTACCGAGTATAGGCTTTTGTATTTTTTTTTTAAGACAAGTATAGGCTTTTGTATTGTTTACTTTAAGATTCGTTTACTTCTGGAAAATAAATTCAAAAAAAAATACGGAGTATTATTTTATGAGTACTTGCTTGTTATTTTACTTATTTAGTTGTTTAATTGTTATTTGTTTTAATTTAATGAATGCATATATATGATGAGTAATCAAAGGAGAGTAATTTAATTAATTTTATGATTAAAATAAGGAAATTTTGAAAATACCACCATGTATTGTTTACATTTTGTACAATACCACCTCGAGTTTTTTTTTTATTGTATATTACCACCTAATTTTCTCAAAAATCTAAAAAAAACCCCACCACTTTTGCCCGACTCCCCTATATGACGTCATATGGGTGGGTTCCACTACCAATTGTTCCAATTCGAAGGAAAATTGGTTAATGGAATTGACCGTGACGTCATATAGGGAAGTTGGGCAAAAGTGGTGGGAGTTTTATAGGTTTTTGAAAAAACTAGGTGGTAATATACAATAAAAAAAAAACTTGGTGAAGTCAGGCTCTTGGGGAAGGGGGGAATGAACGAGTTCGGGTCGAATTTGGTGAGTTCGGGTAAAGTCAAGTGTATTTCTAACTTGAGTCATATTAAATTATTATGCTCATATAGTCGAAATCTGAATCGTTATTTATTTGGGTCGGGTCGAGTTTTGATACCTCGCCTTCACCCGTGATGCTAGGCTTCTCCTTAATCCTCATGCTGCCAAGAAGCTACTAGAATGTTTCCCACCAACTTATGCAATACAGGTTAACAAAACAAAGTCAAGGCTTGTTCATAAAACCTCCCATCACTCTTGTAATTTAAGTCCATCTAGACTCTAGAGCCACTAAAACAATCAAGAAAATCAAAGAACCAATCTTCTACTTCTGAAAAAAATCCACTACTTCATTAATTACAAGGATTTGGGGAGATTATTCTAATACCTTAAACATTTCTCATGATATTTATAAGTACTCTTGGTTTTTCTTTAGTTATAACATTGCATCATTAGTTTAATTAGTGTAATATCCTACTTCGGATACACATCATTAGTTTAATTATTTATAAATAAATTATTATTTGTTGAACATTCAAATATAGTGACACTTCACAAATGACAATTGGCCTAGGTTATTTTAATTTCCTACCTCACCTTACCTATAACGACGTTTCAATGCGTACACATTACAATTTGCAACTTCAAATACAAACTATCAACCTTGTTCATCAAATTGCACTAGATAATTTCTAGTTTGCAAAAATGGTTCGATCAAAAAAACTAAACTTAAATGGTGAACAACTATCCCTATCTTTTGTAATTATTCTCGAGTTTTGTACATCGATTGTGGCAATCTGCTCCGGAGGAAGCCTACTCAACCATATAAGTTCCGGCTGCACGGGCTTTCGATTCCTAGGGATCACACTAATGGTCATCGGAGCTGCACTCCTGATTCTCAGTTTTACAAATTGTTTACTGTATCGTAAACCCGAGATTTCCATAGCCAAGTCCATATGTTGTTCAGTGCCTTTGATCCTTGCCCTGCTCGGCTTAGGGATCTTCGCGTTGGCGGTGAGCAGTAAAGGAGGAGGGAAGTTGATACCAGGGCAATCGTACAAGGAGTATCGTGTAGAGTCATACTCTAAGTGGATGCAAAACAAGGTTAAGAAAAATTGGGATAACTATTACAAGAAGGCTGTTGTTGATAATAAAGGACTTGTGTGCAATGAGCTTGCTGATCTATTAGGAATTGACCCGGCTTTGACGGTACTATTTTAAAACCTTTTTTTTTTTTTTATCCATCTAGAGTCCCTTAAATTTAAATTTGCAAAAAGGTGAAAAATGTTATTTGAACAAAGTAAATGATACTCTCTCTGTCCCTTTTGTTTGCACCATATAACTCATAAAGTTCTCACAATAAGTGAGTCTATGATGCAAAAAATAAAAAGGGACTGAGGGAGTATATTTAAAGCCCTTGTCGTTTACAAAATCTATAGAAACTAGCAACAACCCGGCCAATAATGCCTTATTGCTTTAGGCTGCTATTTTGAATATATTGAACAATAATAATGTTTAGCTGTATAACTATATAAGCAAGTAAGTTTAACTTTTTTTCTTAATTATTTGATAATTAATCTTAGATATGTCATTAAAAATTAAAATCAAGCAATTATTTGGTGAATCTTTTTTATTGATCTTGTTTAAAGTTGCTTTTTTTTAAAAAAAAATTAAAAAAAAAATAAAAAAATAAAAAAAACATGTTTAAATTTTATTTTATTTTATTTTTTTAATGCAAAAAATCTTGTTTAAAGCTGCTTGTATGTTTGCTTAAATCGGAGAACATGTCAAATGTGTTGTATATTATGATCCAAAAATGTTTTACAACTGTTGATTGTTTTAATAGAAGTTAAATAAATGAAATTATGTGTCATCATAATTCATAAACATAGAATGCAAAAATGACCGTTTTCAAAATAACAAATTAATTAAAGTTGATAAGTTATTTTGCATATAAATTTAATTATCTTGTAATCATAGTGAACAAGTACAATTTAAAACTTATTTAATCTATATACCTTACTTTTTATTTTATTTTATTTTTGGTTGAGTTAGACAATATTATAAATAAATAGCTAAGATATTAAGATGACTTATAATTTTATACTCCTTACTATATGTATTTGTTAGTTTCAAGTTCAAATTGTGGCATACTTATAGTGCAATAAGGGGGGACATGTGACATATATCATAGTATATTAGGAACATATTTTAATATATAGTTAATAATAAATATATAATAAAAATAATGGTGTTTTTTTGTGTGGCTAGCCATATTGTGTAGCCGGGGTTACTTATTCAGGAGTTACTTAATTATTTAGGGGCTACTCAGTCGGTCAAGGGTTGTTACTTATTCTAGGATACTCAGTCGGTTAGCGCGTTTTTGTCAGAGTTATTTATTAAGAGTTACTTATTTAAGGGTTACTTAGTCGGTTAAGTGTTACTTATTCTAAGGTTACTCAATCGGTTAGCGTGTTTTTCTGTGTGAGAGTAACCCTTGACCGACCGAGTAATAACCCCTGATCAAGTAACCCCTGACCGACCGAGTAATAAGTAACCACTGATCGACCGAGTAACCCCTGAATAAGTAACCCCGACCACACGGTGTGGCCAGCCACGTACAAATAAAAATTTGTGTAAATATAATATTTAAGTATAGATGTAGAGTTTTGCCTATTTATGTAGTTAAAAATTATGCATTGGCACATGACACTTGATATTAGACCTGATCAAGTATGATCCAGCTCGATTTTGGGCAGAATTTTTCGGCCCAAAATCGAGTTGGGCCCGGCCCGATTTTTTTTTGGGCGAGTTTGAGAATGTGTTTTTATGTATATTTAGTTGATTTTTTAGGCCCATCCCAAAAGCCCGTACAACCCGACCATTTTGGACGGGTTTGGGCACAAATCCCGGCCCAAGAAGTGGGCAAATTTTTTTAGCTCCAGCCCGGCCCGCCCAATCATCACCTCTACTTGATATACAATAAATATAGATTTTTGCCTATTTATGTAGCTGAAAATATTGGTGTTGAAAATTATACATTGACACATGACACTTGATCTGCATTAATTACTCGGTATAAAACTAATCAGGACTAATTTTTTAACGAATTTTACAGTCTGGTTGTTGCAAGACCCCAGAAGAGTGTAATTTCAATAACACAAACCCAAAAGTTTGGGTAAAGCCAGCAAACAATGGCAACTACTCCGAAGATGACTGCAATAGATGGGATAATGATCCGAACACCTTATGCTTCAACTGTCGATCATGTAAGGCCGGTTTCCTCGAAGACGTTACGAGTCACTGGTTTACAACAGGCATTGGACTGGTTCTGATTGCAGGCATACAAATGTTGATGGGCATTCTTTGTTGCATATTTAGTGCTAATTTATCTCTTCATCATCAGGGTAATAGGCAGCCTTTGTTACTTTAGTTTTCTGATGACTGTTTTGTTGCGCTTCATTTTTATTTGTTGTGACCTTTAATATTTTCGTTTGGTATGTATGTTGTACTATAATAACACTACTTTTCACTACATTGTTGGTTAACTTGGGTTGGAATAAAAGGGCATTGTGTGTTGCTTTTGTTTAACTTGTTAAGTTTCCCCATCTTAATTAAATTATTCATTTGTACTTTACAAAAAAAAAAAAAAAAAAAAAAAAAAAAAGGAAAAATTCATAGGAATAATCCCACCTTTGGGCCATTCATTTTTAATAATCCCACCTTTGAGTTTTTTTTAATAATCCGACTTTTACCCCCCATTCTTTTTTAATGGTCCCACTTTACCAGAAATCGGTTGAGTAGGTAATTTTTTTTAAAAAAGATTAATTTACACGTGTCATTACATAATTGGTAAAAAAAAACAAAAAAATTAAAAAAAACCCAAACCCAATTCAGCCACCATCCCGAGCAGACCCGAACCCCAAAACCACCCCACTAGCCTCCCCTCCTTCCCCATCCCCGATTCCGACCACCCAACGCCGGCGCCGCTTAATCCTCTCCCCTAAACCACCAACACCCCAGACCCTCCCCCGAAAAACCCAGCCAACCACTCCCCTAAACCACCAACGATTCCAGCCTCCCCCGTCCCCGCAGCTCCGGCCACCCAATCCCCAGCTCCCTTCACCGCACCCTTTCCTCATTCCTTCTCCGAACACCTCGACCCTTCCCTTCCCCTCTCTTCTCGATTTCCGACTACCCCCCAAACACCTCTTCGATTTTTGGCCACCCACCCAAAAACCTTATCGATTTCCAGCCACCCCACCCACGCAAATCTCACCCTCGAAAAAAAAAAGCCCAGAAAAATTGTTCAAATCTCACCCTCGCAACATCATCTTCATCTTCGCCTTCGATTTCGGGGTGGTAGGGGATGGTGGTTACGGAGGACAAGGAGGGGCGACGGTTTCGGAAGTGGGCTGGGGATGGTGGTTACGGAGGACAAGGAGGGGCGACGGTAGGGGTGGGGGAGGGGCGGTGGGCCGGGATGGAAGCCGGTGGAGGTTGGGGTTGAGGAGGCTGCCTGAGTTGAGGGTGGAGGGGGTTAGGTTGTCGGGTTGGGTGGAGATGGAGGTGGTTTTTGTTTTTTTTTTTTTTTTTCAAGTTTATTACTTTTTTTATTTTTTTAACTTTTTTTTAACCAATGACAGGCTGCCACGTGTCATGTAACCTGCTATAACAGGTTACATGACCGGTTGGGACCATTAAAAAAAATGCGGGGTAAAGGTCGGATTATTAAAAAATAATTCAAAGGTGGGATTATTAAAAACGAATGGCCTAAAGGTAGGATTATTCCCATGAATTTTTCCAAAAAAAAACAAAAGAAGTTAGTATTGACAAGTGACCAAGTATTTCCTAGCTTTTTTCCTCCTATCATTTTGTTTATCAGCTTAGGTTTAGCACTATTTTTTTGAGAACAGATAGGCCAGGAGCGGATAAAGTACTTTTTTTTTTTTTTTATTAGCTTAGGTTTAGCTTTTGTATATGTAACTCTTTTGATAATTTGCAATCTTTAATTGTTCTAGTATAAAAGAAGTCATCAATATATATGAAGACAGCGCCTTTAACTAATACAAGTACACAATTCATTGGTCTATTCCATGTAAATTAATTAATACGAAGTACTAAGTAAATATGTCTATGCAATGTGAGCTACGGCCTAAATGACATATGACGTACATGATAGGATTTGGAACAAATTTTGTGCCTTAAGTACACTTATTTGCTGATTTTTATACATTGTTATGCTTGTATCAATTATTGAATTGTATACGGACAATAAGCTAGGTCAACTTCGATTTTCTCCGACGTGGTTATGATTTATGCCAATCCTAATTAAGGATTATAAGGTATTTTTATCTATCATATATTTGATTTAAATATATTATTAATTCACTGATTTTTAAAATATGAAGCACTTTGTATTACAAAAGGAATGAAGGTGATTAGAATATAAAAATTTTATGATTAACAAGTAAATCAATAACTAAAAAGTTTTTTCAAAACAGTTTCAACTAATACTTTTTTTTTTTTTTTAATCATAAATAGAAATAACTTGAAATTACAGAGTATCTTATAGTCTTATAGATAGGACTCATAATATTGTACCTATTGGTATGATATATACTTGAATTGAATATACTAAGTATAAGTAAATAAAAGTATTTGTATATATATAAGGAAAAATTGATTTAAATAATACCACCTTTTACCCGTCCGCTAAAAACAAGTCTATCTTTTGTTTATTTTAGAATAATACGACCTATGGAGGGTGTCCGCTTTAGCCAAGTTATTTTACCTACAACTTGAACAACCGGTTAATTTTTTTTTTTCTTTTAAATAAATTCATTTAACAACTCTTAATAACAACATTAATTATGATTTATTAAATATTAATATATTTTTACAAAAATTCTTAATAATTTCAAAAATATAATAATTTTAAAAAATATAATAATTTTTTTAAAAAAAATAATAATTTAAAAAATTAATAATTTTAAAAAGTTATAATTTTTTAATAAGATAATAATTTTAAAAATAAAATAATAATTTTTAATAATAATAATTTTTCAAAAAAAATAACAATTTAAAAAAAATTAATTTTAAAAATAAAATATTAATTTTAAAAAAAAAAAATTTAAAAAAAACAATAATTTTAAAAAAAAATAATAATTTTAAAAAAAAATAATAATTTTAAAAAAAATAATAATTTAAAAAAAACAATAATTTTAAAAATATAATTTTAAAAATATAATTTTTTTAAAAAAATAATTTTTTTTAAAAAAAATTATTATTTTAAAAATCAAATAATAATTTTAAGAAAAAATTATATTTTTAGACCATTAAAATGATGACACGTGTCCATATAACCTATTAATCAGGTTACCAACAGGTTACAGCTTGTTTAAAGCATATACCCCCCAAAGGTCGTATTATTCTGAACTAAACAAAAGGTTGGCTTGTTTTTAACGGACAGGTAAAAGGTGGTATTATTTAAAGCAATTTTTCCTATATATAATACATTGTCGTACCATTTCACCTTAAGTACTAAAATTGAGATTTTACAAATGCTAGTGAATAAATCGTACGAATTGGAGTACATATTTATCCTAGCTTAATTCTTCGTGTTCCTTAACAAGCTTTCTTGGCAACATGAAACCAGAAACAAAGAACAGCAATGCTGTAACGACAAAAATGCCACTAATTGTCCATGCTTTCTTCAATTCTTGAACGTAACCAAGCTTGCATACTTGACAGTTATAACAAAGCTTCTTCGGGTCATTTTCCCATTCATAGCAGTCAGGATTTGAGTAGGTGCCGTTTGATGGCTTGATCCAAATAGTAGGGCTTGAGAAACTGAAGTTACAATCCAACGGCGGCTTGCAACATCCTGACTATAATAAGTAAACAAATATTAAGAAAAGAAATAGGTACTGCGGTGACCCTTTTAGAATAAGCGTCTTTTAAATAAGATTACCTGCATAGATCAAAACATTTATAGCAATTCTGCAATTGTGTTCAAAAGTACTAACAAATAATTTACATAAGTTTGACTTTCGTAGTCTCTAATTATATTTGACCTTAAATAGATTAGATTATAATCATCATATACTCCGTACTATGTCCACTATATATATACAATACTCCGTACTATATACTATCTCTGTTGATGGTTATCTGTAATTTTGGGGTATTATTTGTAAGATATAAAAAATTCTAAAGTTGCAGATAACCATGAACGGAAGTAGTAAAAAATATCTTGATGAAACAATCGTTAAAAAAAATCTTAGGGGATATACACATGCTATTTATATGAACATGTCCCTAGCAATTTTAGCATAGGTATTGGATGCATATCTTAAATATTAGTTTCAATATTCATGAAAAAAATATGCTTCATTCAATTTAATTAAAAAATTGTACATTAGTCATCTTTAAAATGACTACCACTACACTCAAATTTGATTGGCTAATTTTTTTAATTTTTTTTTTTCTTTTTTAAAAATGAATTTTTAAATTCTTTTTTAAAAATGAATTTTCTATTTAAAAATTCATTTATTAATTTTGAAAATTAATATTTTTTTTCGATTTTTTTTTTTTTGTTTTCATAATTAATTGAGTTTTTAGTAAAGAATTGAAACATTATTTTTAATTAAGTTTGACCAACAAAAAAATAAATATAAAATCAGCGAAGCTAACTTTAGTATAGTGGTAGTTATTTTGAGGATGAATACCATAGAAACATCCCAATTTAATACTTTTTATTACTTCTGATCTTAGATTTTTACAGTTGTCCTTTTATTCATTTTCCTTTTTATTATTGATACACAATCTAGACTTGATTTGAGCCATTTGAATAACTCTCTTTGTAGATGTCAATGCAAGTAACATCAAAAAAAAAAAAAAAATTAAATGCAAGTGAGCAAGTCCAAATCGTTTCAGTGCGACCATCATCTCATGTGCAAATGGACAAATTAACTAAACATGAATCAGCCCAACTTCCCAAGGCCCATTGAGGTGTCACAAGTCCAAATCATTTCCAATCACAAGTCCAAATCATTTCCAAAGACTATCCCTACCTAAATCCCAATCCATTGAATGGATAATAGCAACAATAATACTCTTAATCTTTAAAGATTACAACAACTGAACTTTTACACTAGTCAGGTAATTCGTTTAACCACTTTTTAAGATTTATAAGTCAGTAAAAACATAATGTTTTGAAGAAAAAAAAACATAAACACCAAATCACGTGTAACAAACAAGAACGTACCTTCTTTCAAAAAAAAAAAAAAAAAACAAGAACGTACCTCAATAGGAGTCAAGTGTCTAGCAAAAAACTGATCTTGAGTATCATCAGCATACTTATGCCGAAAATGAACGCACACATTGCTATCAAGGCAGTGATTGATGCTCATCCATCTTTCAGGGCTAGAAATCCACCTCGGAAGCGAGGCGAAACCGACAGTGCTTTGTGTAAGAGCATAGAGGCTAGCAAACAATATAAGGAAGACAAGCTGCAGCCCAAAGCAAGTAACGGCAATGATCACACGCTTGTTACTAGACTCACCATTTTTCCAATTGTGCCGCATTGGCATAACAAACAGGCACAAGACCGTAACGATTAGACCGAATCCTGCACCTACATAGATAATTGACGTGAATTCTCCACGCCCATCATACTTCGCACTCGTGCTGATGCCTAGGCACATGTCGCTTGGCTGGTTCAATAGCCAAAAACCCGTCGACACAATCGTGATCATTGCAGTGGTTACACTTAAAGGTTACCAGTCCACTGATTATCCATTTATTCATAACTTTCTACTCTTCTTGTTAAATTGCTACTTGAAGTATTGTGTACCACACACTTACGAGAATGAGAGTAGAGAGGGGAGGTGGTGAATTGGAATAGGTGTTGACGTGTTGTTTCTCTATATACGTAGTATATTAGTGTGAGGTTTGTTTCCCTGGATATATATATTGAGTCCTAACATACACGCAAAAAGAATGGCAAGGGTAGAACGATGGATAAATTACTCCAATTTTTTTTTTAAAATATACATATGAATTAGGCAAAAGCCTCTTTTTTGACTTCTCAACAATCTGGGCGTAGTAGGGAATTGAAAAAAAACACTTATTTTAGGTTTGATTGGTGGAAATCTATGTGATTATCTTTTGTATAGTAAACTTTCATATAAAATCCCATTAATTTATACTGTTACTACTATATGCTCGAATATGATAGTTCATCTTCCATGAAACACGTCCTAATTAAGAATTAAACTTTGCTAGAGTTCTTATCTTTAAAGATTATATCATGTATTTATGTGTCATTGTGACCCTTTTAATGTCCGTACGTGAATTTTTTTATTTTATTTTTTAATGTTAACGAGAATTAATTAGTCGATTTATCTAAGCATAAATAACCAGGGAACAAATGAGTGGTCGACAACAATCATTTGTGGGAGTTTTCATCCATGATAATTTTAAACCAACTTGTGGAAGATTTTAACATGATTCATGAGGGAGCAAACTGTATAGTCTTGATACAACCAATATAAAATACCTACTAAATATAATATTGCAAGATTAAGAAGTATAATACTGAGTGAGTGTGGATGAATTGATTCCAATGTCTTTTTCTTATGACGCTATCTCAACTAATCTAAGAACCTTAATTAATTAGTATTGTACATTTGTAATATAACTAACTTTTCAACAATTCAACTGATTAAATTAATACTCCTTGATCTTAGCTAGTGGATGGAAGGGAAGGGGGGGATTGGACTAGTAAAGTAGACTATTTGATAAGTGAAATAATAACCCTAATTACACCATTATACTGTATGGTTTTTTAACAAGTTATGGTTAATAGAGTATATAAAACATATTCCTGGGCTTCAACCATCATTTTAAACTTTTGGTTGACATGGTTCACTAACATGGTATCAGAGCCATCAAGACACAGATGGTCCATTAACAATGGTATGGTTTTGAAAATATAACTATTTACTACGAAAATTTGTAGTATGAAATAATTACTTTGTAACTATTATTATGTGCGTGATGATTAGAGCTGTCAAAAGCTGACCCGACTCGAAATACCGACCCGAACCCGATTATTAACCGACCCGTCTAAACCCGGAAAAAAATGATGACCCGAACCCGATATGAACCGACCTGAAACCAACCCTAGACCCGAGTTAACCCGAGTATTTGAGACCCGAACCCGAATATGAACCGACCTGGAGATAACCCGACCCGAATATAACCCGTAAAATATTGACTTGAACCGAACCCGACCTGAACCGTAATTAACCCAAACCCATTTTAACCCGTTAAAACCCAAATTTAACCCGACCTGAGTTTAACCCGACCTATTACTAACCCGACCCTAATTTAACCCGACCTATTACTAACTCGACCTGAATTTAACCCGACCTATTACTAACCCGACCCAAAATTCAACCCGATCTGTCACTAACCTGACCCAAAATCAACCCGACTTGTTATTGACCCGAAATTAACTAGCAATCTAGGATTACGTCATATCTTTTTTTTCCCCTAATTCTATGAGTTATTTTCCTATTTAAGCTTATTCAAATATTTTCAAAAAAATTCTCTATTATCAAATGTATTACAATTTATATGTCTCAAAAAAACCTATAAAAAATTTATGAATACCACTACTTTTTGGATGCATGTGCATTCTTTATTTGAATTTAGTAATTACGATTTACGAATACTACTACTTTTTAGGTGCAAGTTCATTCTATATTTCAATTAAACAATTATGGTTTACGAATACTACTACTTTGTAGGTGCATGTGCATTAATGTAGTCAATTACGATTTACAAATACTATTTGACCTTAGGCTTGTTTGTTTTATCTTATATATTATAAAAAAAAATTAAAAAAAAATTAAAAAAAAATTAAAAAATTAAAAAAAGTTAAAAAAAAAATAATAATTTCAGATAATGATTAAATTGAACATGGTAATGATTGAATGCGAGCATAAGTATATGACAATGACCTGATGATGATAATCTGACCCAAATAATTTATGTGTACCTGATCATGACTTGACTTGTCTGGACTCGAGAAAGTGGTGACCCGAACTAGAGCTGTTAAAAGGCTTTTATTGGTCTTTTATTTTTCTAATTTTATTATTAATTTGCCTATTTAATCTTATTTAAATGTTTTGAATAATGCCATTTAAATGGTTAAAAAAAATATGCCATTAAAAATAAACGTGAACTCGGATATGAACTTATAAAAAATAAACAAGTTTAGATAATTTCAAATAAAATAAGTTTAGAAAAAAAATTATTGTATTTTACTTATCTAAACTAAACCTATTTTATCCAAATTTATATGAACTTATTGTATTTTATCTAAACATGTCATCTCGAATATGAACTTATCTGAAATTGTTATCCCTTAAATAAGTGGAATCAATTTGAATAGATTAGAATAGGGTTTGAACTTATCTTCTGAAAATCTAAACTAAACCTATCTTATTGGAATTAATTTGAACTTATTATGTAGATCTTATCTAAACTTATTAGAACTTATTACCTCGAATTTAAACTTATCTGAAATTATTTCTCTTACAATAAATGAAGTAATTGATAATGATTAAACGTGAATGTCTTTACATGAACTGTTAATAAATCGACCCAAAAAATGCACCCGAACCTGATATGACCCGACCTGAAATCAACCCGATACCAAGATTAACCCAATATTTGAAGCCTGAACCCGAACATGACCTGACTTGGAAATGACCCGACCTGATTATAACCTGCAATTTTTTGACTTGAACCAAACCCAACTTGAACCCGAACATGACCCAACTTGTAAATGACCCGACCTGATTGTAACCCGCAAATAATTGACTTGAATCGAACCCGACTTGAACCCGAGAATGACCCGACTTGGAAATGACCCGACCTGATTATAACCTGCAAATTATTGAATTGAACCGAACCCGACTCAAACCCGAGAATGACCCGACCTGATTATCACACACAAATTATTGACTTGAACTGAACCCGAATCGAACCCAAGAATGACCCTAACCCGTTTTAACCCATGAAAATCCGAATTAAACCCGACCTTTTATTCACCCGACCTGTTATTAACCCGACCCAAACCTGATAAGATGTATGACCCGACATTACCCGACTCAAGCATGACCCAACCCGAACCCGACCCGTATAAGTTACGACATTAACCCGAAATGACCCAACCCAAAACGGACCAGTTTACCCGAATTGACAACTCTAGTTATGATAAGTCATGCCTCAACTCGTTCCTTAAGGTTTGCTTAGTCCACCCCACAACCAAGCCCACTATTTATGTGTCGTGTCGTGTATAAGCCCATCAACATCCAAGTGGTTGTAGGGTCCCACAATAGTAATACCTAGTGGCTTGTGTCACCATTTTGGTACTTTGGTAGTTTAATATAATGATATATTCATATATCACGTTAAAATTATATTGTGTTGAGAAAATGCCAAATGTGAAGTTCACATGAGTAATTCTAGTACAATAATTTGTAGCAAAATCAGTACAATAATTTGTGTAGTATTACATCATGTAAAATATTTTAATAAGAAACTTTGCCTATAAAAGAGCAAATTCACTATTGTGAACGATGCAAGCTAAAAACTTTCACTGATTAAAACTTTCTATCGTTAAATCTTTAACACGTTATCAGCACCAATTCCTATTTAGGTATATTTATACCTACTTCTCAAAATTATAACAAATACTATCTACTTCTAAATGTTTTGAGAAGTATGCTCTATAGTTGCCCATATTTTGGGATCCTCTATACCAGAAACTCAAACATTTACTGTATCAAAACAACGGTGGAGAAATTCTCTTATTTATGAATTAATTACTATTCTCCGTTATTTTATTCATGTTGATGTTTTTGTTTGATTCATGCATGTTGATATTACATGCTCATCTTTTACGTAAAATTTTATTTTAGTAGTAACTTTGCATGCATATTATTAACTAAATTGACAAAAAAGATGCAGCCTTTTTATACTTATTATTTTTCTTTCTTTTACGTACTTTTTGTGTTTCTTTCCGTTTTCGAACCCATGATCTTTTATAGATGTTAGGGCTCTCGGACCACTATGGCTTGTATTCCCAGTGTGATAACCTTTTAAAATTGTAAATACTTATATTTGGACCATAATTTTGCCAGTACATTAAACTATTATATGATATTTTTACAATTGTACAAAACAGTAACGGATAAACCTACCTCTATAAAAGGCAGATTTTCCCCCGATTTTCACCACAAAATCCCTTATCCTTTCCCATTTTTTTTACTTTATCCAAAAATCACCCAAAATTTTTCACCCCTTCTTCTCTGATATGTTCCCCGACGACGGCAACCAAAACACCCACACCTTCACTTTTGAGGAAGATTTAAGGAAGATAAAATAATATTTTCTTCTAATTATGGCGCTTGTAGTTCTGTTAGTAGCAATATTAATTTTTGTCATGATGTACAAGTGATGTTTGTTTAATTTAGTCGTTTTAGTAGATTAAAAGCCTGTTTTTGTTTTATTATGTTGTTTTGTTGTTATTAATCATCATTGTATAATATTACTGTTATTATTATAATTATTGTTACTACTGTTGTTGTTGTCGTTTTGCTGTTTATGCGACTAATATGATTTATTTTTGCCTGATTATATAATTACTCACAATAATAAACCAAGGGGTAGAAAGAATTATATTATTTATGGTTTATTGTTAAATAAATTTAATTATCACGTGTTTCATTAACAAACTATAAATATGGAAGAATTAAACATGTGTTGTACATATGATTTATTATTATAAACTAATTATCATGTAATTTGTTGTAGTTAAAATGGGAGATCTTATGAAAAGATAATTCAGCATCCTAGATTTATCTGGAAAGAAATTTTTGGAATGGAAAGTGGATGTCATGATGAATTTAAAAGCTCAAGGGTTGGAGCACGCTGTTAAAGATAATAAAAGTTTCTCTGGTCAAGCAACTGATGCTACCACTTCTGCAATGACGATTGTAGAACCTGTAACTGAACAAGAAAAGGCAAAAGTCTTAGTGTTACTAAGCATCATTTGCATGAAGGCCTTATAATTGAGTACATGATGGTTGAAAATCCCAAAGAATTATGGGATTGACTTAATGAAAGATTTGGACACCACAAAAGGGTGCTCTTTCCTTAGGCATTATTTGACTAGACTAATATACGGTTCCAGGATTTCAAATCCATAATTGATTACAATTCAACCATACATGAGATAGTATCTATATTGAGATATTGTGGTCATCCAGTCACCGATGAACAAATGATTGAAAAAACACTCACTACCTTTCATGCAAGCAACATACTATTGCAAGAACAATATCGTGAAAGAGGTTTTAAAAAGTTTAATGAATTAATGAGTGTATTGCTTGTTGCGGAACAAAATAGTGATCTTTTGTTGAAAAATCATAATCTTAGACCAAATGGGTCTTTGGCCACTCATCATGAGGCAAATGCAACAAGTTCTTATCCACCCGAGGCAAATGCTGCACGAAGAGGTGGACGTGGAAATTACAATAGCCGTGGAAGAAGCCATGGAAATTATCGCGGACGAGGCCAAGGACGTGGTAGAAATAATTTTCAAAGAAACAGTAATTTAAAAAAATTTGAAAAACAGAAGGGACAGTCATCTGGAACCTGTTGGAATATTCAGAATGTTGATGGTTGCGTACTCGGGAACCATGAGTAGCGCCCGCGCTAGGTACGCGCGGCCGTGCTGAGGTCGCGCCTAAACAGCGGACCTCACTGCTGGAATTTGGATATTTGGAAGGGTGAAGTTGGCGCGGCCGCGGGTCTGGTGGCGCGCCCGCGGGTCTGGTGGCGCGCCCGCGCGTCATGGATGGTGCGCCCGCTCCTGTGGTCGCGCCTAAACCGCGTACCACTCTTTCTTCCTTTGTGAATTTCGCAAGTTCAGAAGAGGCGCGCTCGCTCCTAGTTAGGAGTGCCAGCTCCACTTTGATGCGCGCCCGCGCCTCCTGGTGGAGCGCCCGCGCCTGTCTGTTTTTCGCGCAATTCTGACGGTTAAGTCTTTAATAAAAGGCTTGATTTCAGATTCGAAGCAAGATAGTAAAAAATTTCTGAAACTCTCCAAAGAAATTCACCACACTTATTCTCTCAAATTTCTTGCAAACTTTTGTGAGAATTCTCTTGCGATTAATTCTATATTGTGAATTGATCATCTTTCATCGTTTCTTAGTGCAAAGAACGTTGGGCTGTCTTTGGTATCTCAAAGAGTATTTCCGGATTAAACCCAAGCACCGTTGTGGGGGAAATTAAACTCTTTAGGAAAGTGTTTACACGCCTAAGACAGTGTATCAAGGATTGAGACTCAAGTGGTCACCGGTTTTTCTCATGTTCATGTTGGTTGTTAAGGCTTGGAGTAAAGGCAAGTATATTATCTTTCACAACTAGTGTTTTCTTTGTATTTTCAGTAATACTTCGATATTTTGGTGTTTGGTTGTAATACATTGAATTATATTTGGATTATTGTATAATTTGATATTGATTATACACAGTTAGGTTTTGTTCCCACAATTATTAAGTAATTCTTGTTTTTGAATTGCTGTAAAACCTAACAGAAGCCACAAACAAACTCCTTCAAAAGGAAAAGACACATGTTACAGATGTGGCATGACAGGTCATTGGGGACGTACTTGTCGTACGACCAAACATTTGGTAGACCTTTACCAGGCTTCTGTAAAAGGCAAAGAGAAACATGCAGAAGCAAATTATGTTAATGAAGAAAATGCTCCATGTCCTACCCTTGATATGTCCGATTTCTTTCATGGACAATCCTGAAATTGAAAATGATTTCATCTTTGGAGAAAATAACAATGCCTAGATAAACCATCTACTAATGTAATATATACTATGTTTTAATGTATTTTTTGTTATGTACTATACTTTAAATGACTAGTGATGTACTTTTAATTTCTATCATCAATAAAAGTTTGTATGATATTATTCTAGACTAATCTCATATTTATGAAGATATGGATATGCCTGAAGTTGGTTCCGAATATCAGTGCCTTTTGGATAATGAAACAACACACACTATCTTGAAGGATAGGAAATATTTTTCACAACTGAAGTTGTTTCAGGCAAATGTAAACACTATTTTCGGGTCAGCAAAATTAATTGAAGGATCTGGAAAGGCTTGTATAATGCTTCCAAATGGAACAAAATTGATGATCAATAATGCTTTATACTCGAGTAAATCTCGAAGAAATCTCATAAGCTTTAAAGATGTATGCCAAAATGGCTATCATTTAGAAACAATGACAATAGGTCAAAAGGAATATTTATACCTCACGCTAGGAAAATATGGCAAGAAACACATTTATGAGAAATTGCCAGTATACTCTTCGGGGTTATATCGTATAAACATACGACCCATGGAAATCAATATGATATCTAACCAGAAGTTAGATGACAAAGATTGTTCTATGGAATGATCGTTTGGGACATCCAGCAACTGGTATGATGTAAAGAATAATAGCGAATTCAGTTGGACATTCAATAAGAAATGTCAAAATTCCTCGATCGGATGAATGGACATGCTCTGCATGTTCACTTGGCAAATTAATAATAAGACCATCTATGAAAAAAATTGCTATTGAATCTCCAAAATTCTTGGAAAGAATTCAGGAAGATATTTGTGGGCCAATTATTCCGACATGTGGACCATTTCAATATTTCATGGTTTTAATTGATGCTTCTACACGATGGTCACATGTTAGTCTACTTTCAAGTAGAAATGTTGCCTTTGCAAAATTACTTGCCCAAATTATCAAATTAAGAGCACAATTCCTAGATCATACAATAAAGAAAATAAGACTCGACAATGCTGGGGAATTTACATCCCAAACATTTAATGATTATTGTATGTCAATCGGAATTGAGGTTGAACACCCAGTAGCTCATGTTCACACACAAAATGGTCTAGCTGAATCACTAATTAAAGTATTGCAATTGATTGCAAGACCATTATTAATGAGGTCAAAATTGCTATCATCCGCTTAGGGACATGCTATAATACATGCAGCAGCACTAATTAGATTGAGACCTACAACTTATCATAAATTCTCACCACTACAACTTGTTTGTGGTCGAGAACCAAGTATCTCACATCTAAAAATCTTTGGTTGTGTTGTATATGTTCCCATCGCTCCACCCCAACGAACAAAAATGGTTCCACAAAGAAGGCTGGGAATTTATGTCGGGTTTGAATCCCCCTCTATAATTAAATATCTTGAACCAATGACTAGTGACTTATTTACGGCTACATTTGCCGACTGTCACTTTAATGAAGCAGTATTCCCAGCCTTAGGGGGAGAGAAAGTGGGCCCACGCTAGAACTTATTTGGAATGCAACACAACTGTTGATGTTAGACCCACGAACAAATATGTGTGAACAAGAAGTCAAGAAAATTGTTCATTTACAAAGTGTTGCAAATCAATTGCCTGATGCATTTGTAGACACAAAGAAGGTGACAAAATCACATATACCGGCAGAAAATGCCCCTACACGTATTGAAATCCCAACTGATAATAAGGCCATTGAGAATGAATCTCAAGCACGCAGAAAGCGTGGGAGACCACTTGGTTCAAAATATTCTAAACCAAGAAAATTGAAAAGATTGGATGGAATAGAAAATGAGACTAATGATGTTCCCCCGTCAGAAGGTCAAGAAAGACCAAATGTGGATGAAAGTAAAGAAAATGATGATAAGCCAAAAGGGGACGAACAAGAAGACAACCCTACGGGGAATGAACAAGATGTTCAAACGTCAATAACAATGAAATTTCAATGAATTACGTCTCTACCAAGACTCGGTGGAATAGGAAAGATGTTATCGTGGATGAAATATTTGCAAATTCCATCGCAATTGACATTGTGTCTGATGAAAATGATGTTGAACCAAGAACAGTGGAAGAATGTCGACACAGGAGTGATTGGCCAATGTGGAAGGAGGCAATGCTGACTGAGTTGAAGTCACTTGAAAAACGAGAAGTTTTCGGAAAAATAACTCTTACACCAGCAGGTGTAAAACCCGTTGGATACAAATGGGTATTTGTGAGAAAACGTAATGAGAAAAATGAGATAGTTAGATACAAGGAAAGACTTGTAGCCCAAGGATTTTCTCAAATCCCAGGGATTGATTATGAAGAAACATATTCTCCAGTAGTTGATGCAACTACATCAAGATTTCTGGTAAGTTTGACAGTCACAAAAGGACTGCAGATGCGATTAATGGATGTAGTGACTACGTATTTGTACAGGTCACTTGATACAGACATTTACATGAAAGTCCCCGAAGGACTAAAACTACCAGAAAACCACAAGCCTAGACAATTACTTTCCATAAAACTAAAAAGGTTACTTTATGGATTGAAACAATCTGGAAGGATGTGGTATAACCGTCTCAGTGAATACCTTGTGAGAGAAGGGTTCAAGAGCAACCAAATTAGTCCCTGTATTTTCATAAAGCGATCACAATCACGATTCGCTATTATTGCATTTTATGTTGATGATTTGAATATCATCGGAACCCCAAATGAACTTGAGAAAACTGCAAAATACTTGATGAAAGAATTTGAGATGAAAGACCTTGGAAAACCTAAATTTTGCCTTGGATTGCAAATTGAGCACTTGAGTCATGGTATTTTTGTCCATCAATCAAACTATACAGAAAGATTTTTGAAAAGATTCTTCGTGGACAAAGCAACTCCAATCAACTTCCCAATGGTTGTTCGTTCTTTGAATATGAAAAACGATCCATTCAGACACCGAGAAGAAAATGAAGAAATTCCGGGTCCAAAAGTACCATACTTAAGTGCAATTGGGGCCTTAATGTACTTAGCTAACAACCTAGACCCGACATAGCTTTCTCTGTGAACTTGTTAGCCAAGTACAGCAATGCACCGACATACAGACATTGGAAGGGAGTCCGACACTTACTCCGATACCTACGAGGGACACAAGACCTTGGTTTATATTATGAACCAAAACAAGATGCTGCTCTCATTGGGTATGCATACGCTGGATACTTATCAGATCCTCAAAATGCCAAGTCACAAAATGGATATCTGTTCACTTATGGCGGCACTGCATTATCGTGGAAATCAACAAAGCAGACATTGACTGCGACATCCTCAAATCATGTAGAGTTGATAGCCCTTTATGAAGTAGGACGAGAATGTGTATGGCAGAGGTTGATGATTAGTAATATCCAAGAAGAGTGTGGAATGAAAGCAATAACAGAAAATCCAACCACCATCTTTGAAGACAATACATCATGCATCTCTCAAGTAACTAAAAGATATATTAAGGGAGATAGGACAAAACATATATCCCCAAAACTATTCTTCACACGTGATCTGCAAAAGGATGAGGAAATAGATATCCAGCAAATTCAGTCTTGTGACAACCTTACTAACCTGTTCACCAAATCACTTCATTCCAAGAAATTTGAGCAATTAGTTCACAAAATTGGAATGCGACATCTTCTTGCACTAGGCGAAAAAATAAATTCCCCACCAGTTCAAACCCCTCCTTTCCCACCGGTTTTGAACCGGGTTATATTTGGGGGGTGCTAAAACCCCATAGATTTCGCACCGGTTCAAAACCGGTGGGAAAAAGGACTTTTAGCACCGGTTCTTAGGGAAAACCGATGGCAAAAACTGAACTTTTCACACCTATTTTTCTTAGAACCGGTGCCAAAAGTCCCCAAAAAAATTTAAAAAAAAACTTTTAGCACCGGTTCTTTTTAAAAACCGGTGCCAAAAATGCCCAAAAAAATATATTTTTTTTTTTTTTTGCATTTTTTTCACTAAAATTGATATATAAACACTAACATATATATAAAGTTACAAAATTTACTTCTAATACTCCAAAAACCTGTTCTAATGAAGCATATAAACAGCAAACATCTAACTAAATTAAACAGCCCAAACTAAGCAGCTCAACAGGCTACAAAAATAATAAAACACAGCGCAACACCAAAGCAGCAGAGCAAGCACATCAACTCAGCATCAGAGCACCCCAGAAACCGCAACACAGCACTGCAAAAGGAAGCAGACAGCAACACAGCAACGCATCACACCAACACAGGAAAACTCGACATCACAGCACAGCAGGCACAACACTGTAGCAGAAACAGCAGCTCATAGCAAGTTAGCAATAGCAGCTGAGCAGACACAGCCCGACAGCTAACATCAACAGAACAGAAACAACTACACAGGAGCATTGATCTTCAGTCCTGAACTCTTGCTGAAGAGCAAGATGCTTTCATCCTTTACCTCTAACTGTTCAGCAGCTGATGCTATTCTGATAGTGAGAATAGTCAATCAATCTGCCTTGTAAAATAGGTAAGAATCCAACTTAACAAAAGAATCAGAGCTCTGACCAATGCCCCACAATATAAATAGGAAGATTATCTCAGTACTAGAGTATGATTGCATGAAATTCAGAATTATGGAAATTATTATGAAAAGACTGCAGTGACATGCAGTTTACCAGAAAATCTAGACAGGAATTGACATACATATCGCATAAATTTAGAAAATTCGATGGCCTGATATAGCTTTCAAAATCTTGAATAATCATTGAAGTTTTTACATTTATGGATAGCTCATATCACCATAGATGTGAATCAGATTTCAGTTTAGCAAACAACAACCACTTATAGCAATAAGACAGCTCACCAAGGTGAAGAAAAGAAGCAACACTATAAGGGGTATGCTTATTTCAACACAACTGCCAGCTTGAGGAAACCCGTAGCTGAAAAATGCTAAACCTACAGCAGCCATTGTTGGTGCAACCACAATCAGATTAATCAACCTGCAGTAGAAACATTCAAAACCTGTTGAATGAATATGAGAATAGTCAAAAACACTTGCTCCTACTATTGAGAAATCTGGAAATCTAGATTTAAAGAGAGATAGAGAAGTTTAGAGAGAGAAATCTATGGAAGTTTTTTTTTTCCTTATAATATAAGCAATCATCCTATTTTACAGTAAGGAAAAAGCAGGGGGTTTATAAATAAACTATGCAAAAGGACCTGCTTATGATATAAGCAATCATCCTAGTTTTTAATGTATGAAGAACAAAATCTTTCTAGCTAGCTAACTAACAGAGGATCTACTTATGTAGGTGAAATGGATCAAAGTTCTGTATTCAGACTTTGACGCATTCGTCAGAGAGCAAGAACAGCTCATAGCAGCAAAGGAAATATTTGATTACATTGAAGGTTTCGTCATAATAAACAGAACAGGTCTTCTAAATAACTGGAGAACATCTTTCAGTCCACAAGATCCAGTTCAAGCTAGTCAATTCAATTCGGATGGGAAAACACTTTACTGCTTAGAAATGGCAAAATATTTTAAGCATGAGGAAGCTGATCTTGCAGACCAGGTAAAACCAGCTATTCTATTGGCAGTATAAATTTCACAAAAAACAAGCTACTGGAGCAATATTATGAAGATAGCAGGAATTACATATACATATGAACCTCCTATGACTATTGCAGTCCTATAACCAATTAAAGTCTGCAAAAGGGTATTCAGTCCCGATACAAGGAGCAAAGTCTGTATCACATGAGCCTTCTCTACCTGTCAAATTTTGAGTGAAACTTTCTAAGGAAAGATATTGATTACATATAACACAATATAATTCAGATTACAAAAGATATATACCGGTCCACCTCCCATTTTTAGGAACAAGTATGGTTGCTATCATAATTGTAGTCCCAAGCATTATTAAAAAATGCTTAAACCCAAGAATAACGGCTTCATCTGCATTTTGATTGATCATAACCCAAGATTTATGAAGGCTAACAGAATAAAAAAAAGGGTGGGGCGGTGTAACGTGTAAGCTCTGGTACATTACGTATGCCTTGAACTCGAATGAGGAGAAACATTGAAAATAAATGGCTATATTAGCAATATAGCAGCACAGAGAATTTCTAAAAGATCAAATGAATTTTCTTGAATCAAATGTTTCTTAATGTTTTCAAAGAACCAAGGTGAGCTTTGTTAAGTGTTTTTTGCTAGGTATATATATTCTCCAACTTTCTATTATTCGAGAAAGATATAATGGAAGATTAAAACTTAATTATACTACAAATGCTTATGAACAAATGGAAGAATCGTCAATTTTGAAGAAATCTTAAACATTATTGTAATTTTAGATATATTTTCCATAATTTTCCTCCTTAAGAAATCCATGTACGTTGTGCCCCCCCCCCCCCCCCCACACACACACACACACAAAAAAAAAAAAAACAACAGAAAAAGAAAGAAAATTAATAAGTTTTTACAAATCAAATTTAGTACACCTTATTTCATAGAATGACCTTTAAAGGCTTTAAATATCACTGTATGTACGGCTAAATATATTATGACTGTCTCATAGTGTCTCTACCTTATCCACAATGCCATGTACCTTTACTAGTTCTCTTAAAGGTGGACTTCATGGACATACACTAAAGCATGTACGAGTAGTTGAGTAACAATTACTTGGAGGTGTTGTTTATGTGATGGGGAGGGAAATATGAATAAGTTGTTTGTATCCAACAGAGCTAGCACCTCGAATTAGAATGTGAGACTTTTATATAATTATTAGTAACAATAAAACAATACCAAAGCCTTATTTCCTCGACTGGTTACCGTTATGATTAAGATGCATAAAATAAAAATTTTAAGTAGCCAAGCACTAAATTCCCTCATATAAGCAAACAAGCAATCCAATCAAAGCACTTTGACAACTTTGTTTCAAAATTTTTTAGAAGCCAAAAAAATCTGTATGTTAAAAACTGCCAAGGACTCCTATAAAAACCAAAGAAAAAAAAGAAAAAAAAAGTTGATAACTTACCGGAATAATCTTATAATATCCTGCAAATAGAGTACAAGATCTAATATCCAAGCCTATGCAGCTGTACCACCACCAGATTCAGAATTCAAGCCTGTAAGTGTTGAACCTTCTAATATGATCTGAATTGAGCAATCAATATTGTCAATACAGACTCACAAGCTGCACCTGTGCTCCAAGAAGAGAGGGGGGAAAAAAGCTTGAGTAAACAACAGTTTTCAGATAAAGCAGAGATGTTATACTATAAAAAATTAGGCAACTTAAGGCCCCGTTTTGGTTTGATGTATTATATTTTCAATAAAAAACTAGTTTTAATGAAAAACATATTTTCAATGAAAACCACACTTGCAAGATAGTTTTCCTTTGTTTGGTTCTTACAAGAAAAATTAAGAGAAATTAAAAATAGGAATGGAAACGTGGAGATGGATGAGAGAAAAATAAAAAGGAGATAAGGGAAAGGGAGGAAAATGTGGCTTCTCATGTTTTATAAAGAAAAATGTTTTCCCCTATTATGGATGCAATTTTCCACCATTTGGAATATTATTTTCCACCTCTTCACAAATCAAACAAAGGAAAATGGGAAACTCATTTTCCATGAAAACATTTTACATCAAACTAAACAGGGCCTAAATGTGTTTCTTTCAAGAAAAAAGATATATGTGATTCTGTGAAGAGCTTGTTCTGACAGAGGATGCAAAGATCATGATAACATAAAAATGCTCGGAAACACTGAAGACATAGCTATAATATACCTGCATAATTAAGGGTTGCAGCAGTCCAATATTGCAATTGCACTCTAGTTATCATATCTATTTCACAATAAGCACATGGAAGTCACAAACCTCACAATTGGGGTTTAGAATCGACTGTTGCCATTATCACCAATTATAGGCTAAAAGCACGATCAGTATTGTAGAAAATAAGTAATAATACAACACAATGGGAAATAGATAAGGTAATGACTATACTGAAAGACGACGGGGCACATCTAGTAGTATATAATAAGAGGACGAAGTGGACTAACCCGGAAAATTTCATAATACTAGTGCTTGCAATCCAAGCAATCCCCCCCCCCCCCCCAAATGAGTTATGTTACCTGCTGCCAGTTCAAGTTTTCCTAAATTTGAACTTACAAATTATAAAAGAAATCCAGAACGGCATAAAGCCATTTACCACACACTAAACCTAAGAAGTCATCACCTTTTCTGTCACAGAGTAACAAACAGAAGGACATGTTAAAAGTGCTAATTTATGTCAATAATGGCCTCTAAAGCTCGATTTCAACCGCAAATTTTTTCACTATATTATTAAGTAAAGGTCAATAGGGACTATAAATTTATCATTTGTTTTGGGTTTTTCATAGCAGAGAAATATTGGATGTTTCCAAATTCCTTCCCCCTATCATTTTTCGCCTGTTTCCAAGAAGTTTCTTTAGATAGTAAAAACATGACTCACAATAGCTTTATCAGCAAAAAAAATATAAACCTTGTTCCCTTCAAATTACCAGTTTTACCTGACTGAGTCATAATAGATAAGGACTTCTAACTACTCGTACCATAATACACTTTTGGTTCAATAATTGCGGCATCCTGCATTCCTGATTCCTAAAATAGGGCAGGGAAATATTCACAAAGAAAGAGAATCTGTCATCAGCCAAATACTACAAAGAAAAAATGTTGTGAAACTGTTCTTCAGACACTAAATGTTTATGAGGTCAAAAACAAGATGAAGTACAACAGAGGAATTCTCTGACATTCTATGGCAGGGTTACCTTTAGATGAGACTCAAAAAAAAAAATGCATTATAATTGTTAAATAAATTTAGCAACAATTGAACAACTATAATAAATGGATGTGCACGTTATGATGTCAAAATTATAAACAAGTCATGCACTATCAACTCAATTAGGTTACATGAGAGTGTGCGAGATACAAAGTTGTTCAGCGAGTATAATGTGCAAGAAATGGATTTAATTTTATTCAACTTTGCTTATTGGGAGTACATATGTGTTATTCATAACATAACAAAATTTTGCAGATACTATGAGAATTACATACATGACTAAATGTCTACATACTTCAAAACTCCACTACCTATATCCCTAACAAGATCCTCAAAATCTGGACAAACAACCCAATTATGAAATGTTTGCAAGCAGGATGTTTTCTAGGTATTTACGGACCAGGATTAGTTATCACTATGGGAAATGAACTCACGAGTAAACAAATTCATGAGTAAATCCATGAAAAATCAATCCAATAACACAACCATATTCGACAACCCTAAAACAACAACAACAAAATCAACCAACAATTCATCAATCGCAAAGAAGATCAAAATCAAGAACAGCTAAAATAAACAAAATTAAAACCTAAAGGAAGCGAAATCGAAGCAAACCAGGAGCAGGTTCAATGGAGGTGAGAAAGCTCAGATTCGACTTCAATGGAGAATATAGAGCACGATTCAATGGAGGCGGAGGTGCTGCTTCAATGGAGTGAGAAGGCGGAGGTGCAGCTTCAATGGAGTGAGAAAGCTAGGGCAATTCGGGATTGTGGATGGAGAATGAAAGGGAATACGAGAGGGAAAGTAAAAGTACAGAAGAAAGAAAGAAAGAAAGAAGAAAAGCAGCCCGGTTTTTTTTTTTATATTTCGTAATTCGCACCGGTTTGAACTGGTGCGAAAAATATGATTTCCCACCGGTTTATTAGGAACCGATGGAAAAGTATTTTCCCCTATCCCGCCCATTTCTTTTCCCACCGGTTTTCAAGAACCGGTGCGAAAAGTGTGCTGCGCAATTCATTTTTTCTACTAGTGGTGAACTATGTTGAAATCAGGGGGAGCATTATATGCACTACACTCTTTTTTCCTTCGATCAGGTTTTTATCCCACTGGATTTTTCCTGACAAGGTTTTTAATGAGGCAGTATACCAAAGCATATAATACAATAATATCGTTGTACTCCTTTTCCCTAGCTATGGTTTTATCCCATAAAGTTTTTACCTAGCAAGGGTTTTGATAAGGCAACTCACACCCCATTTTATGTGAACATTCAAGGGGGAGTGTTGAGAAAATGCCAAATGTGAAGTTCACATGAGTAATTCTAGTACAATAATTTGTGTAGTAGTACATCATGTAAAATATTTTAATAAGAAACTTTGCCTATAAAAGAGCAAGTTCACTATTTTGAACGATGCAAGCTAAAAACTTTCACTGATTAAAACTTTCTATCGGTAAAATCTTTAATATATTGATACTTTATAAGATATATTTTTCGTCTCATGATGTTCAAAAAGCTGAAAAGAACTTAAATTGTTCTTAGACGTTGTTTGTTTCTCTCATGCTGGTTTAATCTAAACATACTCTTTCCCTGTCTGACTTTCTATATAAGCAACAATTTCTTAAGAATTGAAACAATCCTTGGATGGCCATTTCTTTCATGGTGGTTTAATTTTAACATTCTTTTCCTACCTTGTATATGCAAGTAACCATTTCTTTATATGATAATAGGGGGATGATAAGTTGATAATAAGTGCAATAACTGAGATTGAAAAGCTAATTAAAAAAATGTCTTTAATATAAAAAAAAATGATTTACACTTCGCATAATCGTATATCTCCCATTTACATACACGTTCATACCATTATTATCATTTATTACCAATGATTTGTTATTAATAAGAGAAGCTTTGCGTGAGACGGCCGGACTTATTGTGAGTCCAATATATCTAACAATAATATTCTAATATATGACATTAATATTATAATATCTGACATAATATTTGACATTAATGTATGTAAATGGGAGATTAATGTATGTATTTGACATTAATCTAATTATTAATGTCAGATATTAGATTATTAATGTCAAATATTATGTCAGATATTAGAATATTAATGTCATATATTAGAATATTATTGTCAGATATTAGATTATTATTGTCAGATATATTGGACTCACCCAATTTTTTTCGTATTAAAAAACAAGATGTAAGCTCATGTTGAATAAAAAAAAAAAAAACTCTCTCCATTATATATTTTTTTTAACAAATGTTTTTTTTTTCCTTATTGAATTATTATTACTCTTAATTCTTTCCTTATCACATGTGTCTCAATTTAACACTCACAAGTCATAAACAAAATTTTGAATACAATCAGATGAATTAGAAGGAAAACATCCTCACGGCTACAAAGAATCATTAGATTGTTTCTCCAATAAGGCTGTATTTTCTAGCGATATATATAAGTAGGAGATAAGAAAGAATAACATTTGTAACCATGATGATATTACATGCTTTTCAAACAAGTTTGAGAAATAAGAAACTACTTTATTGCAAACTGAGGTATGATATTAGCTAGCCTCTTACGACCAACTTTACTTTATGATAACAAGAAGGCGAGCTGATCTTGATCGGTTGAATCGATTCGATTGCCATGTTTATAAGATTCTTCTAAATGCTTATTCAAGCATAAGCTTGAAAGAACTTAGCTTACTCCACAATGCAAAATCTATTCGATGATCGTAGTTTTTATGAAGGAAATTTTTGTTTGATTCAATATCTTATGTATTTGCTAAAATTGAATCCCTATTATAACTTATAAATGTCATATTACTTTTTATTAATCAATTAATTTTACTACGTACTATTAAAAAAAAAACAAACAAATGTAGTCAACGAGCCCGTGGAACCATCCAAAGTTGCAAATAAAGTTGTTGATGTAAAGTATGGGCAACGAACCACACAACAAGCCCGATCAACTACCAAAAGAAAAGCCCAACAACAAAAACACAAGAAAATTAAAATGCGCAACTCTTAAATAACTCGCACTCTCTTTTTTCTCTCTCTTTCTTCGCGGCCGCCAAGCTTAAACCTCTGAAACCCCTCAACTATGGCGGACAAGAAGAGGAAATCCAGCGATGGTGCAAAGCAGTTACAGAGGAGAGAGAAAATACCGAAGAAATTCACCAACAAAAAATCACACCCTATATCTTCTGGAAAACGCCGTGGTGGTGGAAGTGGAGGCGGAGGAGAGAGAAGAGGTCCTCGATTACCGTCGGCGTTTAGGAAGCAGCTTGATAACCTCGGAAACCCTAATTTATATGGTAATAGTGATGATGATGTTGAAGATGATGAAGTTATTGATTCGGATGAAGGTGAATTGAATTATGTTAAGGATTTGTATGAGTATGAGGAGGAAGTTGCGGAGGAGGAATCGAAGAAGAATCGACGATTTGATCATGTTGAGAATTATGAGTATGAGCTTCCTGAGAAATTCAAGGTTTTTGTTTCTCTTTCATTTTACCCTTTTCGATTGCTTTGTTTTGATTGTTTAAACATGAAATTTCTGCCAAAAAAATAGAAAATTTTGATGTAAAAGAGTTGATTTGGGGGTGAATTAAAGTAATTTAATGTAGATGTAGTTTTGTAGTTATTTATTGAGTTTTTATTATGAGCCATGCGAATTTTTGTAGTCTTAGAAGTTATTTGTTGTGTTCTTAATATAATTATTTGTACCCTGAATAGGTGTAGATTTTGAGAAATTGCATTAAGTTTGGGATTCTTTGCGTATGTTTGGTGGTGGAGAATAATGGATTTGTTGGAATTTTGTGAGTGTATTGATATTAGTTGTTTGTTTACTGGTTTTACTAAAGTACTACTGTAAGGAGATCTATGTTTGTGTTGAGACGATGGCGTACAATGACTTTTTTTCGAGGTTCTTAGGATCGTTTTAGGGCTTAGGGGTCTAGGGTATAGTGGTATGACTAGAAAAGTATAATATGACAACCTTATTGCTGCTGTACATAGAAAGAGTGGGAGATTATTGGTTCATTCGTGATATATTCACACCTTTCAAATTGAGATGAGGGGTATTAGTAAGGACTTAGAAGTGATCTTTTACACATGAGAAACCTTATGATCAACAGTGATCGGCGTGGTTGCAAAGCCTTAGTTTAGGAATGCCAACTATATTGTATCTAGCAGTGGAGGTTTGATGCATCACTGCCGGGGGTGGGAGGGGTGATCGCAAGGCATTAAATCATTTTTGTGCTACCAATGTTGAAGTGGCATAAGAAAAAGTTTCTTTCTAGTCAACCAAGTGCTACCAATGTTGAAGTGGCATAAGAAAAAGTAATATTGTGCCAGGAAAAATTGATATTCTTCTTGGACTATATGATAGCCAATGTGGCAATGTATCTGTTTCAATGTTGATAAAGTATGCAGCTTTTAGATGTTTCACTCTTTCCTGTGTAGGATGAAGACATACTCTCTGAGGATGACGACGATCTAGGTCCTGGAGATGAAGATGATGATTCCATTGACAAGGAGTATGATGAGGGAAGGCATGCAAGAATGCTAGAGGATATTACTGGAATCCATACTCAGGCTTTTGCTGGTAAATATGCTGTGTTTATTCTGTGATGTCTCTCAATTAGCTTTGATCATAAGTGATGCAAATGCTGATTTGATGGTTATACTATTCGATCTGCCAGAGTTAATTAATCTATTACTAGAACAAGCTAAAAAGAAACTTTGAGCAAAACTCTAGATACTTGTTCCATTTAATATCTTGATCAAAACGATTTTTTCGCTATCTGGGGATTCAAAAGAATCCCCTTTTGGTGCTGTTAGGCTGAAGTGCTGTTGTTTTTGTATACTGACTATTTTTCAGTATTGGTAAATGCTTCTTTCATTTCTGATTTTTCTTAATGCTATGAATACTTGATTGGAAACAACTTTGATAAATAAATGAAGTGAAAATCACTGCACAATCAGGTCTAAAATTTTGATTTAACAGACAAAAAGAGGAAGAGACGTGCTGCTGTTTCAGAGGCTTATCCAGAATCTGAATTTAACCCTAGCCGTGATGTCCTCAGCGGTAATGGGAGTATCAGTATTCAAGACCTTCTGGATCCTCTTCGAGGAACTCCTAGTTTCAGCAAGCTTAGGAAAAGGATTGAACATGTTGAGAAGAAAGGAGAAACAGTTCAAGCTCCACTTCCCAAGCCAGAACGAGAGAGGGTGGAGAGGGGGGTAGCATATGACCACACAAAGAAGGATATTACTAAATGGGAGCATCTCGTGAAGAGAAATCGAGAAGCTCCCACACTCTATTTTGACCAAGGTAATGATATGGGTCTTCCAACCGTGGGAACTATGGCCTCTGAGTTCAAACCACGAACTGATTTTGAGAAGGCAATTGCATCAATATTGGATAACAAAGAGATCTCAGAAGCTTACAAGAATGATGGTGCCAAGCTTCTTGAGCTAAACAAGGTAGGAGCTGTTTTGCATTGCATTGGCTTTTCTGTATTTTGTCTGTTGTTTCTCTTTTCAACTATACAATTAGGAAACGGAATGTTATTGAGTTGTAACATAAAAGGGAAGTAGATTACACTAAGTCACTAAGCAATAATCGTTGCTTACTAGTACTAGTAGTATAACATAACCACATTTTCTATAAATAGATAAACAAAGAAAAGTCACAGTTTCCATTGTCTTTCGTTATATGTGACACATCTGCAATTACTTGTGGAATTGATGGCACAAATGATTACTTATCAAATTAAAGGAATGGGAAACCCATTTTTGGAAAACTTTTTTATTATGGTGGCTTTTACTAAGTGTTTAATGATAAATTATACCTGCATAAAGAGGGAAAGGGAGACTACTTAGCATTCTATTGCCAATGGGTAATATGGCAGGGTGTGTAAATGCAAAGCAAACCTGTGGCATGTAAGGTGTTATTCCTCATACTTGCTCTATTACCCTTTTGACAAAGCCCCGTATACACCTGTTTATATGCATTTAGGTTGTGCAAATGTGCAAGATGATATCTCCTTGTTTTATAATTATATGCATGCAATTCACTAATGATTGCATAAATTTAGAACCATGAGGCGGGCAGTTTAAATATGGGTCTTTGGTTGCTGATCAACTAGTTGGTCTAGTCTACCAATTAAAGAGTATGGGAAGAGCGATTTTACTAATCCATTGGTTTTCTATTTGAATTATTTTCATTGTCTGCTTCTTTCTTTCCATTGGTTTCTATTTTTTTCTTTTCACAAAAAGTTATAGAAGTTTACTCCCTCCTCTTTTTAAGCTTTATGTTTTGACTATGTTTTTCTCACAAAATGATTTCAAATGTAAAAATTGAAAGGGAGTACTTTCTTTCAGAGAAAATTTTAATTTTTCAAAAAATAAAAAATAAAAAATAAAATGTGTACAAGTCTAATACATTGTATTACATGTTTCTATTTGTTTCCTGATTCTTAATATCTGAAAGGTTGCATATGTGCATGTCCAGGTTTCACCTTTCCAATTTCCATTTTTTGTTCCATGCAACATAGGTCATACATTGTATCACTACTTATCAATAATGCATTTAGAGGAAGAAAGACTGTTTTCAATATTCGTTATGACTCAGTGAAGATACTGCCTTTTGTGGGGTCATGGAGGATTATATACCTTTGTTTTCGTATCTTTTTTTTTTTTTTTTTTTTTTTTTTTTGTGTGTGTGTGTGTGTGTGTGTGTGTGTTTGGGGGGGGGGGGATTTTGAGTGGATAAAGTTGAAGGATCTTGTTAGGTAAGAATAGAAGAAGATGGCAGTGTGAAGTGGTATTTGTTGAAGTCATAATCCTAGCCTAAGAATTTTCTACTACAACTGTTTATTTTCTACTTTAAGTTGAATGTCTCTGTGTAGTTCATGCAATAATTTTGTCGCCTCGTAGAGGAACAAAGTGTAAGCATTGTGCGGTACTGAATGTTTGGAGCATTGAAAGTTTAGGTGAATGGGATCAGAAATACCATGAATTTATGTTGCTTGTTGCTCTTGCATGCCATTACTTGGATTGAAAATCTAATATGTTCCTCTTGGTATGGTGTACAGATATCTGTCGAAGAAGTGAAGGACCGCCAGAACAGACTTGCTAAAATGCGCAGTCTTCTTTTCCGTCATGAAATGAAAGCAAAACACGTTAAAAAAATTAAGTCCAAGACTTATCATCGCTTAAAGAAAAAAGACAAATTGAAGGCAGCTTCTTCAGATTTGCAAACTGATCCTGAAGTCGCCAAAGAGTATGCTGAGAAACAAGAAAGAAAACGAGCAGAGGCATGTAAAATGATGTGCTTTTGTTGTATGTTTAATGCTGTATTTGTGGTTTAGCCAATTTCACACATTGACAAATCATTGGTATTGCGTTTATATGGTGCAGGCACGCATGACACTGAGGCACAGAAACCAAGGAAAGTGGGCTAAACGTGTTCTTGAACGCGGTTTAAGTAAACAAGATGAAGGTACTCAAGCTGCTATAGCTGAGCAGTTGAATCTTCATAATCTTCTGACCAGGAAAATGAATTCCATGAAGGATGGCAGCAGCAGTGATGATAGCAGTGATGAGGATGAGGAGGATATGTATAGTTCAGATGAGGAGGGGGCATCTAAGTTATTGGCTAAGGCAAAGGAGAAAACGATTAAAATAATGGAACAAGAGGATGAAGTGCCTGATTCAGGGGTTCTTTCATTGCCTTTCATGGTATATTCTGCCCATTCCTATTGTTTGCTTATTGTGTTTCATCACATCATTCTTGCATCCTCTTGCTCCGTTTTGCGTGGAATGGAGGTTTCTTAAACCTAAAATGGATCTTATCTTAAGAAAAATGGATGGCACAAAAAAGGATTAAAAAGATAAATGTGATGTAGAAATGACAATCAAATTATATTTTTTCACATCAAGCACAAGGTTTGTTCACCAGCCAAAGATCTATAGAGAGATGAGAGATTAATGCAACAGGTTGGGTAGTCAAAGTGCGCATTCCCATGCTTCATCCACTGACGTCATGGCAGAGAACATTGATGGGGATTTAAATATTAAGAGGGGTGTTGGGGGGGGGGGTGTTGTGTTTGATTGGTGATTTTGATTCTCATATAGTAATTTTGACTTTCTTTTCCCCTATATCTTTGCTTTTATATATATATATATGTGAGAACTCTTTCATATGTGAGAACTTGTATGTTCTAAATTATTACTCACATGTTCTAAATCTTAAATTATTTGTTCTAAATTTAGCTTATATGTTCTAAAAATTGTGCTCAAGATTTTTAATCATATGTTCTAGAGTTTAAATCATATGTTCTAATTATTACTCATATGTTCCAAACTTTTATTTACATGCTCTAAATTTTACTCATACGTTCTAAATTTTAAGTCATGTGTTTTAAATTTTTACTCGTATGTTCTAAATTTTAAATTAGGTATTTTAAATTTTCACTCGCATGTTCTAAATCTTTACTCAAATGTTCTAAATTTTAGATTTGTTCTCATATAAGTATGGGTTCTCACATATGAACCTATTCTCACCGGATCCCTTATATATATATATATTTATGGTTCTCGTGAGAACCCCTTCTTATGTGAGAACCCTTTCTTATGTGAGAATACTCTTTATGTTCTAAATTTTTACTCGTATGTTCTAAATTTTAAATATGATGTTCTTAATTTTTTCTCTGTGTTCTAAATTAAATCAGATGCTCTAAATTAGTTTTCACATGTTCTAAACCATAAATTAGTTAAGTTATGTTATAAATTTTAAATAACTTGTTCCAAAATTTTAACTTACATGTTCTAAATTTTAAAGCATATGTTCGAATTTTTATTTGTATGTTCTAAATTTTTACTTACATTTTCTATATTTTATACCCGGTGTTCTAAATTTTTATTCACTTGCTCTAAATCTTAAATCAGATGTTCTAATTTTTACTCATGTATTCTAAATTTCTTAAAGCAGATTTTCTAAATATTTACTCACATGTTCTAATTCTTAAATCAGATGTTCTAAATTACTACTTGCACATGTTCTAAATTATTATTCATATGTTCTAAATTTTAATTTGAGTCACATGTTCTAAATTTTTACTCACATGTTCTAAATATTAGATCAGTTTTCGTAGAAGTATGGGTTTTCACATATGAACATATTCTCACCGGATCCCTCCCCTATATATATATACTTCCTCCATTTCTTTATACTTGCAACATTTCTCTAAAATGGAAATGTCACAATAGTTGTAACACACTATAAAAGGAAGGTTTTTATGGTCAAAATTGTACTAGTACCTTTATTTAAAGCTCATGGCCCACTTGATTATACTCCTAACAACCTCTAAACCCCATTTTAAGTGTATTATATCATGTGAGGTCCACTTTTCTTAAATACCGTGATAAAGTGTGTGTTGCAACTATAAAGAAACGGAAGAAGTATATATATATATATATACACACACACACATACATATTTATATACATACATATACATATATGCATATACATACATATACATATGTGTATATACATATACATATATTTATACATATATGTATACATATATGTATATATATATATATATATATATCCTATTGTTAAAACTGCTAGATGGTATTAAATTTTTGCTTTCACTATCTGTTTTCTAACTCTTATATTAATCATAGGTACGAGGGCTGGAGAAAAGAAAGGAGGCTGCTAATAAAGAAGCCAAGCGTGCTCTAGAGGATTATGATTTATCTTTAAACCAGACTGCAGGAAAGGGCCTGAAGGAAGGGACTTCCAGTGGTAGACGAGTTTTTGGTGTACCCAGAAAGAAGATTGAAGAGGCTGCTAACGTAAATCATAGACCTGATGTTGACAATTATGGCAGTGATAATGACGATATCATTGAAGAGAAGGATGATATTCAAATGGATGGTGTGAAAGGTCATCACATGGAAAAAGATATCGACATTGATTTGGATGTACTTCGTGAAGATTTGGAGACTGTTGATGATTCAGCTTTCAAAGTAATTAATTCCTTGTCTTTTTCCTTCCATTGAGGGTATAATCGTTATAAATTAGCTTGATTAATACTGCTGTACTTCGCAGAGCGTTATTGATGTAGCTAAAGACTCTGGGCCAAGAACAAGCCACGATGTTTCTGTTTTCACATCTGGTTCATGGAAACAGGTTAGAGCTATTCTGTATTTCAGCGTCGTTTATTCTTGCCTGTCATATGGTGGCAGTTGCAGTGTCATCACTGTCATGTGCTGATGAGCTAAGGCTTTTTGGGCATTCTATGTACTGTCCCAATGCATTCTGTTACCTGCTTTTACGCTCTTCCTTACAGACCTTACCCAATCTATGTGATACCTTGTTCTAGCTTCATAATATCAGTTTGCTTGTCTTTGAAGAAGGGGTGGAAGCATGGAGTAAAATGATATACCTTTTCCGCCGTTGCTCTTCCCTTTTGTTTCCTTGGTGACCTCACAATGGTGTTCTCCTTTGACTATATGTTTTTTTAAACATGATGCATCTAAGTTGTTTCATGACCTTAAATGAAAAAGATTGAATGAGTTGGGCTTGGGGAATCTAGTGAGCAAACTGAGACACTAAACACCCCTTTTAGATCCTTATCAGCTTAGGAACATTGTGCTGAAATGTTGAATTTTTATTTATAACTCTAATGATCATGTATGCAGATGAAGAGTGGGAGTAAAGGGGTTCCACTTCTAATACCACTGTCAGGAGTATGCCGGAGGTTGTAAAACCTTCTCCAAGCAATGATAGTGAAGAGGTATACATATCATAGGACGTTTTGCATGTTTTGCATACATATATAACTATGAGGACGTTTTGACAGCTTTGCTGTATGTGCACTTGATTTATTAGGAAGTAGAGGATGACAGCGATACAGACAGTGGTGGGCATATGATAGATGGGATGTTGACTTCAGGGAAAGCTTATGAACTACCGTCAAATGAAGAGCTAATAAAGCGTGCATTTGCGGGGATGATGTGGAAGAAGAATTTGAAAAGGTTAAAGAGGATGTTTTGAATGAAGAGAATCCTGAGCCAGAGAAGCCCCTTCTGCTTCCTGGATGGGGTCAGTGGACTGATGTCCAAAAGAAAAGGGGTTTGCCTTCTTGGATGCTGGAAGAGCATGCAACTGCTAAGCAAAAGAGAGAAGCAGCTTTGAAAAAAAGGAAGGATGCACGTCTTAAACACGTAATCATATCTGAGAAAGTAGATAAGAAGGTCAGTGTTCTAGTCTTTGTCATTTTTCTATCTGCGTCATTTTATTGCTGAAAATTAGGTGGTGGGTAAAATTGTCAAGGGCAACTCGTTTTGTTTAATTAATTAGGTCATGTACTAGATAATACTCCCTCCAATACTGTTCTTCTATCTACATATCTAAATTATTCCACATTCTATTACTTTTATATATCAATGTGGATCAAACTTGCCTAATGCTGTCATATGTGTTTCTGGAACTGATAGGGGGAGAAATTGTATGCAAAGACGCTGCCTTATCCTTTTGCTTCGAAAGATGTTTTTGAACAGAGCATCCGTATGCCTATTGGCCCTGAATTTAACCCTGCAACAGCTGCTGGGGCTCTTACCAGGCCAGAAGTGAGTTCTCTCTCTCTCTCTCTCTCTCTCTCTCTCTCTCTCAACTTTTGGTAATTTTCCTCTGACATTGATTGTGTTCAATCAGGTCGTAAAGAAATCTGGCATGATCATTAATCCTATCAAATTTGAAGAAGTAGATCCACACGAAAGAGTAAAGGACCAGAAGCAACGTGGACGGAAACAAAAATCAAATAATAAAAGTTCCGCCAAAAAATCAAGGCGTAGTATCAAAACATAAGTGAGTGATTTGGCACTGATGTTTTTCCATGACTTGTGTAATTTAATTAAGCACGCAATTTTGTAGTGTTTAGGCATGGGTTTTGTTGTAACAAGCTTTACCCATTTTAGTGAGAGGGTGAGATTTGTTTCAGTCAGACCACAGTCTACAGATATTTGGCCTGCTTGGCTAAGATGTATTCTTTTATTTTGTGGGCAATAAAGCTCCTGGAAAGTTTTAAATCTTTTGAATATATGAGTGAGTACTCTAGCTTTTTATTATTGCTTAAATATTGGTTAGCTGGGGTACGTATTGATGTAGTAGGTTCCAAACTTGCAATTGAGCGCTACCGGTTCATCACATTAACAGTGCGCATAGCTACACCTGTGAAGGTGAGGGTGAGGGTGTTCATCACATATGCACGTATTGTGCACACTTGGAGCACCGTCTTGGATGCTATCGGCTACTCAAAAACAATTTGCTATAGGTTATCAGTCTCGATTGTATCCTTTTGCAAGTTTCGTCGCTATGATATATGTACAGTCGAATCAAGTAGACCCTTTTCTACATAGCGCAAACTTTTCAAGCAACACACTGCTAATAAATAAATAAATAAACGTTTTTGCATCAATCATCATTTGGCTGAGAATTGAACCAAAAAAAACTTATATAGTCCATAAACATGAAGTACTCAAGTAGTAAAGGCTAAAGAAGTAAAGACAATATATTGCAAGGAGAGGTGAATCGAACCAAAAAAAACTTACAAGCCTAGAAATTTAAGTGCAACAATTTCTCCATTAATGGCGCTTTACTCTTCCCTCCACTTTTCAACTAACTTGATCAATACTCCCGCCAAATTTCTAACATTCAACCATCTTATCTTGCGCCCCTCTTCTCTTATCCTGCGCCCTCACCGCCGTCGAATTCAGTCTCTCTCCTCAATTCTCACACTCCGAGCAAACCCGCCTCGGAAATACGTGTATCCTGACCCAATTCCAGAATTTTCAGAAGCTGTAATAATAACATTGCACGAATTGTTTCTGTAATTCTTTTATCTTATGCTTTAGCTTTTATATTTATTTATTTTATTTTATTTTTTTCCTTCTTGGGATTTTGCAGGAAACCCAGAAGTTCAAAATTGAATTAAAGAAGACATTGTTGAAAGATGAAGATGCATTTGGGGACGAACTCGACCGGATTGTCGATGTTTGCGCCAAGGTGAGTACATTTACGGCTTGAATTCTGTGTGATGTTATTTGCTTTTGTCTTATAAGAATCTGCTCTTAAGGTGTTCGATGAATTGCTTGAATGAACTTATATGTGTTGATTTGAGGTTGAATGGTTGTTATGACATGTCTGCTGTTGGATTGTATGTTAGTTGGCAGTTGGGTTAGTTGGGAGTTAATTTATAAAGTGGTTATCTTTCTGGTGTGGCGGGAAATTCTGTTAGCTTTAGGTTCATTATATAATGAGGGGAAAAGCCAAAGAGGCTATTTTAAATTACAGACATCATAATTCTTTCATTCTTTCCCCATTGCAAGTTTATTGTCTTTAATTCAATAGAAAATTTAGGTTGGTGTTCTTTGGATTTGTGTTCCTAGGATACGCGATCAACTGAGGCATTTGAGAATGCTAGGCAATCTTCGAAGAGGATATGATTCCGTAGGGATATTGCCCATATTGGGATAAACCTTCTGCAGGATAAGTTAGATCCTAAGTACCTAAGTAGTGCTTTTTCCACCAGCAAGATGTAGGCAGATTTTGTGATTTCAGAAAGCTGGGAGATTGAAAGTACCCTTAGCCGGCCATTGAATAAATATCCGGGCTTCATGGTTCTAGAAATTAGTTGTGTGCAATCAGCCATTGGGGTAGGGAACTAAACAAGGAGGGTCCCAAAAACAATAAAAATATGGACAAAGAAAGTTCATGAGTCAAAATTGCACCCTCAGCCCTCAGCGTCTTAATTGCACCCTCAGCCGCTCAGCCTTGGTCCATCCAGCATGCACATGCACTAGCCTAAGTTATCCAGCTTGGGTCCATAAACGTATTCTGAGGTACAAAAGATATGCATAGTATGAATCATGAACATCTGTTATAGTTCTTCAGTTTCTTCCAAGTTAAATTAGAACTTTTTGGATTAATTCTAACAATGTTTATTTCTTAAAGTAGACACAGTTTAAGTTTACTACATGAATTGAAGTAAAGGTCATAAACCTTGAATAGCTAAAGAAGCATTCATAGTTTCTATCTATGTCTGCTAAAGGCCAGCCAAATACCCCCCTTCTCCACCTTAATTTGTTAGTATCAGAAGAGTTGGAAGGATCTAATCTATAGGCTTTCTGGGACCAAGTAACATACTTAAGAGAAGCAGTGATTTAAAAACTTTTTGACAATTGCAGCTTGCCTATGATAACACTGTCTTCTCAGCTTCCCTTCAAAACGCTGTCTTCTCTAGCTCCAGATTCTCTTTCCATCTTTTAATGCTAATAATACCCGAAGAAACTCTCAAGACATACTATCTGGTATACATGGAAGAATGTTTCTTCCCTTCTGAATTGATACTCCTATATCTTTAGTTGTATGGTAAAAGTTCTCATTTTTGAATGTGCATACTGCATAGCAATTAAGCAATGTCTTATGATTAGCTTCCCCAATAAGTCATTACGGTGTATAGAGAGTCCTTGAGGACAACAGATGCAAATGAGGTTTGATTACGGTTGTTTGATACTACCTCCTATACTTTTAACAGTATAACCAACCCAACTAGTTAGCATCCACGTTAGCTTTTCATAATAATACCACTACTTAAGATAGAAATGATCCTATATCATAAATAGTCTTGTAACTCCATAATATATCCTTAATTATAAAAGAGTTTGAAAATATAACAATTAAGCTCGTGGAAAGTGTAGCAAACTTTTGTTTCAATTTAGCCTAAGACCAGTAAAGAATAAATCACTAGAATGCTGGTCTATTACTCTAGGTTGCTAGTAATAGTACCATTTCAAATAAATGCTTAATAGAGAGATGTTTGGGTATACTGATTCTCTTTAATTATCAGAATGAAAAAACACAATCAAATGCTTTTGGTCGGCATCATGCAATTATTGGGACAAAAATAGGGAGAGTACATCTAACCATGTACACTTCACATGGTATTCACTAACTAATAGTCTAGCAAATTAATGACCTTTACGAAGAATGGTCATTATTGCAAAATCTAAGGAGCCACTTCTAGGATTAGTCACATTCGACCCTACAAATTCCTCCTTGAAAATGTAGATTTTTTCAATACTCAATCATGAATTTTGCATCATATTGTTAATTGGTTAATCCTAGAAGTGGCTCCTTAGATTTTGCAATAATGACCATTCTTCTAGTATTTAATCACCTTGTTAATTGATTGGGATAAGATATCCTCTTAACAAAAATACTTCGTATCGTCAACTCTTTGCAAAATCTTCACCAACCAATTATAACTTGTAAGGTATAATCAAGACTATTTTTTTTACGGTGAGGGTATAATGTACATGGCGAAACCAGTTGTACATAGAAATTGCTGTACCATAACAGTTGCTTCATCCATCTGGATTGAATTTGATAATCTGTGACATTATGAGCTCAAATGACATCATATATAAATAATTTATTTTAGAAGGAGGGAATATCACAAGTGTTTTATTTGAGTACGTCATTGATCAATTAAAATATGCAAATTATCATCCCTTGAGTCAATAAATCTTTTTTTTTTTTAAAGAAAAAAACCCTTGAGTGAATAAATCTTCATCATATAGCTCTCATATTTGGGGTTCATGATTGAACATGATGCCGCGTGTTTTGATAACAGTAGAGTTAGGGTGTTCATGTTGTTTAATTAATGTCATCCGACCGCCCTATTACCATTATTTAGTTTTTATTATTAAATGTGGGTCACTTTCTTAACATGAAATGCTTATCAAAATTGTATAATCAATTTCCTCTTGTGCTTACTCGTCAAGTTTCATAAGAACTTAGATTATTGTTCTTTTGAATCGGTCCTTTTTGTGTACACTTCATAATGGAATAAAGTTTTATTGGTTTGTTTTTCATAATTGCACAATTAGTGCTTACATTATGATAAGTTCATTTTGTCTATCCATGCCAATTGCCAAGTAGTCTTGATATGCCTTTTGCCGATTTGCCCTTTGGGAACAATTATCTTTGAACTACTTCTCCTGTTTTACTTTAGTTATGTTTTGACTTTGCAGTTAATTTGACGTCTATTTGTGATTTATTGTTAAGATAAATTATATTCCATAACATTGTTGGTTTTTTAAAATTCATTTCATTGTATATTTTTCAAATACATATATGTAATCTTTATATTCTTTTTATTAAAAATTAAATATATTAATCTTTGAAATCATGCATGTTTTAGATTATAAGGGTATTTGGGTTATTTTGAAAATGAAAATAAATTGTTTTATTAGAATAAAACACTTGAGCTAATGAAGCTTCAAAAGAATTTTGAATATGGGTGTAAGCCGATCGTAATGTGGTTTTTTCTACTCTTCTCAAATGTGAGACTAACTTATACGTGCGCATAAAATATAATAGGATTCAACCAAAAAAACAGAAAAAAGTATGTGTCATTTAATGTGTTTTTTTTTCTTTTTTCAAATTAAAAGCATCTGTATATGAACTAGCCGAGTCATTCTCATAGTTAATGCATTATGCTTTTGTTCAAGGAACTAAGAATTGGGTCATGTGGGACTGTGGCCTTGTTAAACCTGAAGTACGTGTGGTGTGACCGGATAACCTTAATGAAATATACAAGATCAATCAGCAAGAAAGAATAAACTAGCTTAGTATATCTTGAACTATAATATGTAAATTATCCATTAGGCCAAATGTATGTTAATAAATGTCAAACATAAGTACTCTGTATCATGTCACTACAAATTAACCAAACAAGTTCGAGTTCGAGTTCCACCGGATAATTTTTGATGGGATTGAGAATTCCCTTATCTTCCCCCTACTTTCAACTGTTCGACTTAATTGTCTCAAAATATTTTAATCTAAACTAAACATAACTTAGGTGTAGTCATAAAGGCAGTTTTGGTTTTTAAAATGTTTGGACATGTGTAAACACAATCAAATCGGGGAAAGGTGGTACTTGTAGAATACAGTGGTCTTTCGTTACAAGTTCCAAGTCTTACACAAGCCTTACACTATAGTAAAGTATACTTCTTCCAAAGATACTAACCATATAATTTAATCACTTTTATATGTCATATACACACATTAAGTAGGTGTATGAAGATATAAACATAATTATTGATTAAGATATTCTAATATAGTTTAGCTACTTGACAAATTTGGGTAATACATGATTAAGTCCTTGATTCGTTACTAAGACAAGGAAACATCAAAAATCTAGCTCTGAACAAACAATATGCTTTTATGTCTCTTTGTTCCACCATTTTTTTTTTTTATCAAAAATGTTAACCTAATGAGATATTGAGATTCTATAGTGCCAGAAAATCTGACCTAACCTAACGTAGGAGGTAATCTTTGACCATGTAAATACATTAATTGTTTTTTTTTTTTTTTTTTTTTTTTTTTTTTTTTTTTTTGAAACACGTTAATTGTTATTTGATCATATAACTAAGGTTTTTTTTTTTTATTTTTTTTTTTCCGATGAGGATATGGAACTCTACTGAATTGGAACCTCTCATAGGTTAATCCGTCTTGCTTTACAGGTTAAACTCTTTGGGAGTGAGTCGGAACCTCTTATGGGTTAATCCGTCCAGCTTTATATGTCAAGGGAGAAGGACAAGAGAATCCTCACCACCAAACTCCTAGTGGGGTTTGATCCCTTGACTGTTAAAGCATAACCCATAAGGTCAAACTCTTATCACTAGGTTAAGCCTTGCTTGGTATCTAAACAACATTAATTACATCCTATAAAAAATAAGAGAATGATGAAGTACGTACTTATACTAGTTGTCTTGAATTATATTCTTCCTGCTACTAATTATATTATTTGTTATTCACATGTGTAAACATCTTTGGTTTTAATTGTCAGTCTATGTAAGCCATGTGAGGTGTTTTAGATCTTTGGGCTCACCTATTTAATTAAAGATTTGGACTTTCCTTGTTCAAAAACTGACCCATGTAGGGCACTACTACACTCCAATATCTTTGAAAGTGACTACAACCATTCAATATTAGTCTCTATGGTTTTTCTCTTGTCCTTGATTTAAATTTCAGGCTATGCATTAACATTAAGTTTTGATGATTTTTAATATGTTAATCCGTACTACTTCAAACTAACAAGTAATATTGCATCAATATATTGAAATTACGAGTTTTTGTCCATTATTGATGTTGTGTTATTATGACATAAAAAAGTTTGTGAAGTGCGAATAATATGAAGTGTACAAATAATAAGAAATGGGGGAGATAATAAATTCATTGTATCATTAAGTTTTTCACAATATTATTGTTACACACTTTGTCAAAATGTTTTTTGGAGAAAATAATGGTTAAGGTTTCGACTTCAAAACATGCATAATGTTGTACATATGGAGTATATGAAGTTAAGTAAACATCTTGTGGTTACTGGTTAAGTGAGGAAGTAACCATAAGAATGAATATTAGAGGCTTGGTATTACTTTTCTTCCATATGAAAAACCATTTTCCCATTATGTTTTCTATCCAGTAGATAGATGGTACAAATAATGATGAATTGGGTTATAAGGACTAAAATTTGACCAAATTCATTAGGTTGTTGCCCATTTGTGGGTCTACATTTTTCTCATCCAAACATTCTAATTTCTCATCAATATCTTCTTGAACATTTTTAATGGCCGTTTTGGAATTTTGTGGGAGGTACAACATCAAGAAGTGGACTTTCTACAATTTTATTTCCTAATATTATAGGTTTATTTTCAGTCATTCTTTAATTTGTTTCTTAATTACCCAATCATAATCACACAGGATTATTGTAAAGATTGTCTATATATTTAAGACATTTGTAATAGTATTATTGATTTTAATGTCAGGAATCTTAATGACAACAAGACTTTTTTTATTCAAAAAAATGTCATAAAATTCATACTATCAATATAATCTTAGTTAAGGAGAAATTTTGTAATTATCATTTGTTAATCGTGGTTAATTTAAACTGTGGGGCCCTCCTGACAGAAAATCTAGTAGCAGTTGCTGTCAATTTTTCAGGAAACTAGTTCAGAGGCTTCTCTTTGCTGTGCTCAGAAAATTATCCAAATCACACAAATTTTGAGTGTGGATACGTTGAATTAACCTGTTCTTAATTAATCTTTCATTTTTGGAAGTTTGGAACATACTCTTGAATTCTGTACTGTGGTTCTTCTCCTTTGGTGGGACATCTGCTATAGATCGGAAAAGAAAGAAAACATGAATCTAGTTATTTAGTTTCAAAGTTGATGATAGAGAGTGTCAATTTTTAGGCTATGTCCATATCATTGAACGAACATTTGGTATCTTGTCATACTTCCATGAACTTTCCTTTGATTGGTTGTTGGTTGTTACAGATGTGTATGTAATGCACTTGGACTGCATTTAGAGAGGAAAGATGGATATAGACATTTAGTAAACTTAAACTATGGTTTTGTTCTGTTTGTATTAGGCTTCAAATGGATAGTTTTGAGCACAAGCCTTGAAATGCATAAGCATGGAGCTGTTATTTCCATGTATGGATTAAGTTCTATGATATTAGGGTGTTAATGAACCAATGCTCTTTGTGAGTTGATGACCGGTTTGAATTTGTGTTTGTATAAGACTAGTACAGGCTTGTTCCTTTACGATCATGAATAACATTTTCATTAATAACATTTTCATGAATAACACCTTAAGAGATAGAATCAAAAATGAGGTTATTCGCAAGAAAGTAGGTGTGGCAGGCATTGCAGACAAACTAAAGGAAAATCGCCTGCATTGGTTTGGGCATGTAAGACGGAGACCCGAGGGTGCATCGGTTCGAAGAGTGGAAGAGTGGGACCATGGAGGGGTTAAACGAGGGAGAAGGAGACCGAAAACGACTTGGTTGGAAGGAGTTAGGAAGGATATGAAGTATATGGATTTGCATGAGGATGAAATATTAAATCGTAAGGGATGGAGGAGGAAGATTTTTGTGGATGACTACACGGAATAATCAAATTTGGTTTATGTAGCCAACCCCACTTATGGGATCAAGGCTTTGATTGATTGATTAATTTAGTGTGTTTATGAACAATATGTTTATTTACATTTATCAACAGTTTAGTTTGAATATCATTCATGTCCATAAATTTATATGCAAGTATTTGTCTCTTGGATAGAAATAAAGTTCATTGATGAAACACAATTCCATTGATATATGCATGGATTGATCGACTTAGAGCTAAATATGAACACACTAATTTCAAAATGAGTTTAGGTTTGACCAAGCTTTTGACTTCGACTTAGTTAACTCAGTTCAAACTCAGCTTGAAGATGAATAGCGTAATACTTGATTTTTGAACTCTATGCAACCTAGACCACAATAATGTTTTCAACCTAAGGATTAGCAACCTACATGTAATTGTGACTTCTCAGAAGCGTACTGAAAAAGTTGATGTCTTTATCGATCTCATGAAGGTTGGTAAATGCTGTGTCAACCAAACATTTTCATAGCTTGAGAGAACTCGAAGTTATGGTTCATCTTATTGCCAATGCTTTCAACAAATCTGTTATCAATTTTTGTGCCATAACTAATTTTGAATAATGACTTGACTTGTGTTAATGAAGTTCGCTTATGGTACTTTTTGCATGAAATTTGAAACAGATACTGCATGAATTTTTGAACAAAGAATATGGAGGGCCAGGAACATTATTGGTGGAGCCTTTTACAGACATGCTAATTGCTCTAAAGGACAAAAATTTGCCTGCTGCTCCGTTGGCTACTCGAGCTTCTTTGCTATGGGCTCAAAACTGTATTGATCGCGACTGGCGAGCCTGGAACTCATCAGCTTCCAACAGTCAAGTAAACCATCATTTCTAATTTTAGTACCTTTTTACATCTGAAAATTATAGATTGATCCTTGAACAACATTGCAAAATTCATGTCATTTTTGAGAAGGAAATAAATTTCATACAAGCTTACATTAGCACAATTTTTCCAGATTTACAAACAATCCGCCCTTTTTTTTGCACCCTTCTTTTTCCAGATTTATAGTTTCATTTATCTATCTATACACAGGAATTGGCATTTAAGATGCAACAAAACTGGACTTGAAAAGAGGTTTGACCCCCCTTTCCTTCTCCTTTAGCCCATTATTTGCTTCCCTTTTACTAATCTCTCAAAGTCTTATCTTCTGGAAGATAAGGTAGCTTGTTAGTTCCATATTGATGATCCTCATTCAGTCTTTTGGATATTAGCTTGTAGCCTCAGATATGCTCTGTAAAGAAGGCCGCCATGTTTTCGATCTCGAGTTCATCGATCTTGATGTTAATTTCTGTCTGTCATGGTCTGATCCCTGTTTTCATCAAAATCAATCCCTATAAGTTTCTTCAACATATTGACCAAATTATATAAATGAAAAAGAAAAACTTTTAAACTCAAAAGTATCAAAATATTCAGTTTTTTTTCCTCTGTTTTTACCTGATCATTTTTATCTGATTCATTTCTTTTTTCTTCTCTATCTTTTCCCTCACTTGTTTGTAGCTTGTCACTGCCTGACCCCTTTTCATTCACCTTTGCCTTAGCCATTTTTTTCGCCATAAGAACCTTCTTAACCTCTGTCACCATCAAACAACAAAGGTTAGTTACTTTTTGACATCAAGACCAAACAAAAGAAAGTTTTCTATGTTCTCTCCTGATCAAGGAATATAATTATTAAGATCCTTTGATTATCAATATGGTACCAACCTTGTGAAGTCACGAGGCGATAAGCCCGGCCTAGGACGAGAGTATCCGTAGGTCGGAGCAGCTTAACCCGGGTGTACCGGACTGATTTCTTCTTATCCGAAGCTCCGGCTTCGTCCTCAGAAAGAGGGAGAGGGATGATGAGGGATACATAGTGACCAGGGTTCATCTTCATCACTTCATTAGCAGTAATAGGCCAATACATCCTCTCAACTTTACCACTTGGGTGTTGTATCACCAATGCTGCTGCATCAACTGCTTGGCAATTTCCCATTTTTTCTCACTTTTTTTCTCTTAGAAGAAAGAAAATGGATGTTTTAAGATGAGGTTGAATATAAGGGGAAGAGAAGAGAAGTGAAAATAAGGACTAGTCTTTATCTTAAGGGGGTTCCCACCACCATTAATTAAACAAGGAAAGCTTCAACTTACACTACTTTGCTTAGCTTAGCTTATTTAGCTATATCTTTGTTGTTGTACTGCCACTATGAGTCTATGACTATCTCACCCAACTAACTCAAGTTATGGGTATATATACCTACAACTTTCCTGGACGGCAATTTTTTATATTAACTTAGATTTAGATAAGCTCGGTTTTTTATAAATTACTCCTGATATCTGTATAGACTGTATTTGCTCAGGTTTGAAGTTTTCCAATGAAAAAGTAGTCCCTTATTATCATAACAAAGTGTAGGATAATTTTTAAAAATTTGGATTATAGTTATTTATTCAAATTTTCTTTTAAAATAGATTTTGTAAACCGAGTTTATGGTATACGAGTAATAAAATTAAAGAGATAAACTTGAATGTACAAATCATACATAACTATCATTCCATTATAAAGTTGACTTATTTCTTTTTCATTCAATGAATTAACTACTAATTCATATCAATTAACTGTATGTGATTCGAGGTAACTAATCTTATTTGTATACTGTAATATGGCATGTGTATACAATTCTCAACTTTTTCTTTTAAAGTTACGCGAATTTGATAAAAATGTAATGATGGGAAGAATTATTGTTGACATTATCGTTGCATAGAAGGATTGAACACCTTATCTAAGAATCGGAAGGTCTACGGCTCTCAGTAATCGGTTATATGAATGTTGAGTATGAACCTTAGGTTTGTAAAGTAGTTGGGGGAAGCAAAAGGTTGGATTGGCTGTGATTATTTGTCCAGCTCCTTTGATACTTATATAATTTTATTGTCTTATTTGGGTCTACAATTTTAAAGATGAATAAGACCATGGATGATGACTTGTAACATTAATTGATGCAAAAATATTCTCCGCTTTTAAGAATATTTGTCAAAATTATCAAAAGATAAAGTTATGTCACACACCAATGATCATTGAAATCTTTTGAAATAACTTCACCATATTTTATACTCTATATATGTAAGAAATCAAAACTTGGAACAGTTTTGTAAAAGGCAAAACTAGCTCCATATTTTTGCAACATAAAAAGACGTAAGATATACAACCTCCATATATTTAAGACCATTTGTTTTTTTTTTCATGGTCTTCGATATACATTTTTTTTTCCTTTGAAAAATGATATACATAATCCTATGTATAAGAGCTAAAAAGGAAATATTGAGGATAAATTAACATTAATTATACTAATTTATTCATGATTTAGTCATGAATTACCAACTTAATTCCATTCTAGAAAATATATTTAATGTTTATATATAACCCTAAGGGCTACATATATCATTACCCTTTTTTTTTTTACGGGTTCGATATACGTATTTTACAATTGATAAATTTAGTCATAGTATATAAAAAAAATATACACAAAGAAACAAATCTAACATCTCTCTCCTCCCCCAAACCCTCTGTTCTCTCTCCTCATCCAAAGAGAAGTTCTGCCGGAAACCTAGGGCCCGCCGGAGATCCGGCGCCGCAGCCGTTTCTCCGGCGAGGTTCCTCCCTTCTCTTTTCTTGTAATCTGCGTGCGGGTCGCCGGTGAGTAGGCATGTCCTCCGTTTTTCGCGTCGCCTCCTCTCCCCGCCCTGCTATGAGGTGGCCTCAAACTCAGGGGGCCACCGCGTCCTCTTTCCCCCTCCTCTGTCTTCTTCTTTGCTTGGTTGCTGCTTCTCTTCCCCTTTATTTTCTTTTCCCCTTCTTGGATTTGGAGGTTTCCTCACTCCGTTATCCTCTTTCTTCTTGAGGATTTTAATCCTTTGGAGGTGTTTGTGAGAGCCTTGTCTAAGTTTCGAAGGTTTTGAGGGGAGTGTGTAGGTCGTCCACCTCCATCGCCGTTGCCCACCTTTGTGTGGAAGGTTTGTGTTCGTTCAAGGGGTCTCTCCGCCGGTGAAACAAGGCCTAAGGATTAGGCCTAACGCCGCCGTCATAAAGGTCATCGGTAATTTTAACCGTGACGGAAACGGTAAAGTTAGGGTTAGGGTTTCGTGGGTCCTTGCACTGGAGGGCTAGGTCTAACGCCGCCGTCACGAGTAGTTAGTGACGGAAACGGTGAAGTTAGGGCTAGGGTTTCGAGGTTCCTAGTGTAAGTGGTTTTGGGTTGTCGGGTTGGACGATGCTCTCCTCTAGTTTGTTCCTTTTCTTAAGTATGTTTGTTCTTAGTATTTATCAGAGTTTACTTGCCTTAGTTTTTGTTATATATGTTTTAGCCCCCGTTGGTTGTTTTCCGGGCTATTTAGTTGTTTTGGCTATAGTATTTTGGATGGTTGCGTGCAGTGGGAGTTAAGTCCCTTTGTTAAGGACAGTGGGGTGTTTACTGTGGTAAGAGAGGTTACAAGTGCAGTTGTTGGGGGTTTAAACAAGAAGTTGGCCTTGGCTAAGGTGAAGTGTGTATGTTGTTGGAGTGGTATGGGTTTGGTTTCTCTTCCCTCGGATGTAATGATTGTTTTGGTCATTACTCCTGATTCTTATTATTTGAAGCGGGGCGGGCGCCCAAACTTTGTTTTGGGGTTTCTTGAGCCTCAACGTTGTCAAAGCTTTCTTGCCAACAAGGAAAGCTATTGATTGGAAGGTCACTAGTTCAAGTGACTTGTTTGATGACCTTACTTGGTGATGAGTTGATCCCGCCAGGTAAGGAAGTGCTAGCCATGGTCAAACAGTTTCGATCCTCTCCGTTGCTCTCTTCATGGAATGTAGTATGTTTTTGCTCCTTGGTTTGTAAGGAGTCCCTTATCTGCGACTTATCCGGCCAATTCAAGTTTATTTTCGTCTTTAATCTCAAAAGTTGTTGTAACGGCTTTAGTGTTAAAAGCCATAGTTTAAGTTTAAGTTCTTATTATGTAGGTTGTAAACTCTGATTTAATGAATACATTTGCTCTTGTCAAAAAAAAAAAAAAAAACAAATCTAACAAGTTTTGCATAATAAGATAGAACTTTTTCATTTAAACCACAAATAGTAACTGGGTAGAAAAAACTAGGGAAAATAAATAAATAAATTAGAGTCTTCCCAAACAACTGATATTTTCGTAATGGTGCTAAAATTTGTATGTGTATATAAATAAATAATTCTAAGTAACTCGAGTTAGTTATTACTTGGATGCTTATTAGCATCATACATTAATACAAATGCAACTCATCATTCTCAACCCTCATTAGCTTTAAGGGGTTTTTTTTTTTTTTTGAAACAGCTTTAAGGGTTTATTTTGTTCAATTTATGTTCAAGTATTAACAATATTTGATGAAGATTAATTTACTTAAATTTTAATTAATAATAATTTGATGGAAAGTAATAAGTTTAGCTTGGATTACTACCTCCGTTTCATATTTTTTGCAACTTTGGAATATTATTTGTGAGATATAAAATATCTTAAAATCACAAAAAATATAAAATGAAGGTAATAATAAAAGCTACTCAAGTTCAATTTACAACCAACTAATAAGTTTACCTGATCAGTTTGATTCATTTCTAATAAGTTTATATCAACAACCCCAACCAAACCCTCAAGGTTATTTTGATCTTGTATTTATAACTATATCAAGTTTTGCTTGGTGTACAATTGATATGTACTTTGTATAGTTTTTGGTGGGTTAGGGGGGAGGGGATTTTATTTTACTTTTTTAAGGTGACCGAAATGGATTTAGTGCATATTATTCCGTATTTTCACGAGTATAAAAGTAGAATTCTCCCTCCAAGAAATCAATCAAATTCATATCTATCATATTTAAATGGCCATTTTATTTTAACATATAACCTCACGTTTCTATTCACTTGTAATTAACAAAAAAAAAAAACAAAGAATAATAAATTGAAGCTTTTTTCTTTTTTTTTTGACGGGGATAATAAATTGGAGCTTGATTATTAGAAGTCTAAAACTATTGTTTTTGGATCATAAAAGTAAGGTTTTGAGAGAACTTAGAATGAATAGAATCATTTCGGAGGATCATGCAAGTTATTGACTTTTGATTAAGGACAAATTAATTCACTTATTGATCGTTAATCAATAAACATCGCCTTAATTAAAAGAGTTATATGAGTCATATCCTTATCATACATAAAACTAAGCTTAATAATTGGTTTGAAATTGATCAAAAATAAATGGTAGAAGATTTAGCATTTTTGAAAGAGATAAAGTAAAACAACAATTATTAAAGCAGGCTGAAGCTGAGCTACGCTTGGCTTAGTATGGCAAGCTGGCCATCACATAGAAAATGAAAATTTGTCAAAAATAAGCAAATTTTTACTCGGTTTTCCAAAAATAAGCAAATTTATTGATTAACACAATATAAGTTGACCTTTATGGGATATTATCTTTAAATAAGTTAGATGACCTACAACCTACCAAATAAGTCACTTTTTTCCTAATTTTAATTAAATTTTTTCTTATTATAATTAATAATTAATTAAACAGTATTAATAGAAAATTAAAATAAAAAATAAAAAAAACCACACCCACCAAATACCAGCGCTCCACCCCCATCCCCCTGACCCCCGCCAGCCATCGCACAAACCTCCCCCCTTCAGTGGTCCCAGACCCCTTTCTTCCCCTCCCTCAACGCCGGCCATGACCAACCCTAACCCTCCCCAAAACCACCACACACCTCGAATCCCCACCCTAATTACCTCGAAACCCAACCATACCCACCTCGAAACCCAGCACCCACCTCATTGTTATTGTTATGCGGTTTGCGAGTGTGGGGCGTTTTGGAAGGGGGAAAGGAGAGGGTCGGTATGGGGGAAGGACCGTAGAGGATTCGGTTGTGGGTTCGTGGGGATGTGATGGAGTGGTGGTTTTGGTAGTAGGCCAAGCCCGGGGAGAGGGGCTGCTGTAGTGGGGGTTTCTAAATTTTTTTTTTTTTTAATAATTAATTAAAATAATAAATTTAAATTTAAACTTGAAAAAAGAACCAACCACATTATGACATGTGGCATAAGCAACCCAAACAGTACAACCAGTTTTACCCTTAAAACTAACAAGTCATAACTTATTTTGATAAAATATCCTATAAAGATCAACTTATTGTGAGTTAATCGAAAGGTTTGCTTATTTTGTAAATACCGAACAAAAATT